TCTTCATGTTTCTCAAAGGAGGTATATTATGAAATTTAAGGTAATAAGAATTTCCACAACTAATTATTGTTTTAAAAGCCCCATATGCAAAAGTACACACACACACACACACACACACACACACACACACACACACACACACCATGAAATATGGCCTTTACATTTTATAAGTGCAAACTCTCACTCACAGTCTGACCCAGGACCCTTGTTGTCCTTGCTGCTAATCCACGATATCTCTCCAAGACAAAGCCATGCAGGAGGCAAACTGGGAGACATGTTGGTAAATATAACTCACCCCACCATGTGGTTCCTCTCTAGGAACACGCTCTTGCTGTGGCTAATCCTATACCCTGTGACACCAAGTTGCTGCCACTACCCCTGCTCTATAATGCTCCAGGCCCAAACCCAAGCAGGCATTGCATCCCTAGGGAAAATTAAATCATGTAGACAATACAGGATTTGCAAGCTGAATTCAGTAAAAAGATAGAAATATTAAATGTAAAGATATTATTGGATTAACTGCGTAAGCACTCTTTAAATAATAAGTAGTGTATGCATTTGTGTAGTTAAGTTCCATCTACTGTATTATAGAACATGAAATAACTTTCTGCCTTTTTTCTTACTGTCACTTTAGAAGGGTCTGTATACCGACCATGCAGCATCTGGTGAACATGAACCTTTAATGATGTTCTACAAGTGTTTGTGGGTCAATGGCAAACTTAATCTGTTGTCCTGAGAACTTGTGTTGTTGTGGAATATTTTAACAATGTGAACATGTGCCACATTTCTTTATGATGTGAGATATTACTTTAACTATGTAAAGGTGTATTGTAAATTGGGGTTTTTTTCCCACCTGGTCCCAGAGCTGTTCATCCCCAAGTAAATACGTAGAAACTTATGTGTTAATTATTAACTGGTCCATGGCTAGTTCTCTCTTAACTATTAACCAATTTCTATTAATCTCTGTAGCTCTATTGGGTTTTGGCTTACCAGAGAATGCCTACAGTATAGATTTTGGATTTTGATGGAGGCATATTAAATATTTTTGTTTTGGGGTTAGTGTCTGGGCATTTCATATTACAACGATTGAGGCCATCCTGAGTATTGATGTCTAGTCCTGTCCTTGTTAGGTGGGTGTTTTATTCATTGGTTTCTGTTGTCTTCTCTTTGTCCTAGTAAGGTGTAGTTGCAAGAGGTTTCCTTGGTATATAGTGCTTCTTCAGATTAGTTGGATGCACAGTAAAATAGAGGTGAGTTAGGAAAAATTTATAGAGGAGCTTCAGGAAAGAACCAAGGAGATTTTAGTCCACACTAAGAGGTGAGTTGCCTAGGAAGTTGGAGGAGTGGTGGGACAAGGGCCTCTTGAAATTAAATTACAGAAGGAAGAAGAATCATCAGGAATAAAATGACTATGGGAACCTTGTGTCTATAGCAAGAGTTGTAGTTTGGTAAATGGAGATGAGGTAATAGATGGGGCACAGACAAGTAGCTTGTTGCAGATCTGGGTATGGGAAAAGGGAGATTGTAATGGAGGACAGGTATGTGAGTAACCAACTGAAGTCTCATCCTGATTGTACCACTAGGACTCCTGGATAGAAAGGCTTTCTACGTACTGGAGGTTGACAAAAAGGAATGGGTATGGGCTAGAAGTGAGGGGGGGTTGATAAGTACCACAGGAAGGAAGAAGGCTAGGTCTGCTCTAAGGTTCAATAGCATCCCCCAAGAATAGAGGTAGATGGGGATGAGGGCATCTGTAAATAGTCTGATGCAGGAATGAGAGTGATATGGTCAAGATTATAATGGAAGCCAAGAAGAAAACCAAAAATTACCTACCAAGTTCTTATCCAGTATGCTTACTGGGGGGGTCTCAGATTGAGATTGTTTCTAGGTCTTGGCGTCTGACAAAAAGGATTGGGAATGGCTAGAGGAGATGGTAGAAAGGGACCACAGAAAGGAGGGGTTCACATCCTGACATTTATATGCATAGCTATGGTTTTCTTTGTCTTATTGTGATTATTGCTTTATTTACTGACGTGGTTGCATATAGGGTTCTGAATCTTTCATTAGTTTCTTAAAACGTGTGTCAATTGTGCCTCCAAAATGGGGTATTTACCTAAACTACAAGTGTATGTGGTAAGTTAACACAAGTTTCCAGTCTGTGTATGTGAAGAATGATGAAGACTGAATGAGACATTTACATGTGTATAGTTGTGGCACTTCTTTAGATATTATATATGTTTATGGATGTTCAAGATGAGTTTAATTGGGATTTAGTTTCTATACTAATCATTGCCAGTGAACCACAGACATCAAATTCGTCTAATAGGGAATGAACTTCCTTGTGCCTCTGGTAAAACCTGGGGCATTAGGAAATCTTGTTAGCGTTACTGTGCTAACTGAGATTTTCTTCAGGTACTGTCTGTGTACTGCACAAATGGTATGCTTCTCCTATGCCATTACTTCTTTGCGTTGTTCACGTGTCATATTTTTTTTCCCCACTTGTGGAAGTTGGACATGATTCCCCTGGTTAAATCTGGATTTCAGAAAGACCTGAGTGTCTAGACCAAAAGGCCAGACCTTGTATTCTTTTGATGAATTTCTTGGGATGAAATGAAATTTCTTTCTCTCTTCCTTTGCCAAAGCTTATATTTCCATCACCTCCCATGGTGGCATGGAACCTTTGAGTAGACCACAGATAGATAATCCGGTCCTGATGCTCCTCTTTCTCCTCATAAGAAAAATGCTTTGCCTGGGACTAGAGCACATGAGGGTACCCTGGCTTGTTTTAAAAGGCCAAGTGCTTCTGCTTTGTATGTACCAAGGGACCAATAATGCAACACAAAGGTAAGAGAAGGCCAACATTTTTCTTCCTTAGAGCATGTCTATCACCACCAGATGCTTAATTGCTGACAAATGCTGCTAAATTAGCATGGGCTATCCCCCATTCCTGATTCTTGTGGGGTTTCTCCAAGTATACACTTGTCTCTTCTTGGTTTTGCCTTTGAAGAGGTCCTTAAAACCTCAACTGTTCCCACAGTCCTATTCTGATAGTTCTTTCCTTCTGTGTGTCTTTCCAAAATGATACATATATCCCCTGTAATGCTTCCTAAAAGCTTCTTATACTTTGAAATGAATTCACCTGATGACTACAAATTCAGTTGTTTGCTGGACCCCTGATAGACTATTTTTTCTTGATCTATATAACTACTGTTGACAGGCTGGGGTAGTATTTTCTTTGGATTTCCATATTCTCACTAGAAATAAAATTTCCAGAGATTTTTTTTTCAGAGCTATCTTTGTCTTTTAGGCTCTGTAAGTCTGGTATCAGAGAACAAAAATAATAATTTTCATCATCCCACATATTTTGTCCCTAAGAATCTCACTTCATTTATGCTTATTAATATACTGAAGCAATGTGAGAGAGTATCTATGCTGAGTATAACAAAATGGTCAACTACGCATTTACCATTATTCCTATATTGATTATGATGACACATTGACCCTATTAATGTAAGAAAAGTAATATTTTCTTGTCAATGAAATGCATGTAAGTTTGCTGGCTTGGGCTTCAGTCACTTTTCCTAGCATACCATGATGACTCTTCAAGTGGCATAATTATTCAAAAGCTTCATGAATTTTGACAACATGTCTATGTCCTAAGAGCAAAGATAAGTTCATCTGTTCTGAAACATCACCCTCTAGATATACATGACTCAGGATCATCCTAACAAGGAAGCTGATCTGAAATTTCACTTTTATAGAAAGCAAGTTTCACACCATAACCCATGGTCCTTCTTTCAAGTAAGATATTTAACCCCAATGAATGTGTTGTGACCCATGCCTTCATTTATAATGAAATATAAACCTTCCTGTTCTTGAAAGGGGATGCATTTTCAGGACAACTCATTCTCATTGTAAAAACTTTTCATCAAGTCCATAGCTTTATTCCTTGTATTCTGATTTTTTGGTTGTTTTCCCAGCTCTTCTACCACAGTAGATATTATGTTTTCCCATTTATCCTGATTTTATTATTTATTCAATACTTCAATAAATTTGCATCAAGTGAGACTATCCATTTGTAGAGACATCATGGAAAAGCAAGCCTGGAGACACTGGAGATGTTAAGCATAGCCCCTGTGCTATGCTTAAACATTTATTTTCCCTTGTTTCTTTTAAAAATATTTTCATTGTGAAGAATCATCAGTCTTGTTCGAGGCCCGTGGTATCCACTACACGATCAACGCTGTGCACTAGAACGTTCTGGAAATCCCACTGCTGCTCTGTGTGGTAGAGGTCCTGTAGCTTTGAGTCTGCTTGCTGGTCCGGTCTCTTCACGGTCTCAAGCAGGTCATAGACAGAATGGATATTGGGGCAGACCAAGTCATTGCCCTTGATCCCTTGATCTGGTCCTGTTCCGACAGATGGGAAATGTGGACAATGACTCTTCAAGGAGACTTGCAAGTAGAAATGTATGGACAAAGGGGTGTATGTTGTAACTTGTTGAGTTGCACTGTGGCTTCCATGATGAGATTTTTAATTTTTTTCATTTTATTTTTACCTAGAATTTTGTTTTATTGGGGGCTGGGGGAGTGCAGGGGCCTTGGCACAGATGGAAGGGACAGGAATGAATGGGATCAGGATACGTGACGTGAAGGACCCAAAGAATAAATATAAATTATTGTTATTAGTTATTTGAACGTTTTGTACAACATAGTTTGATCATATGCACCTCCTTTCTCCTCTTCCGGTCTTTCCTTCCCTGTTCTCTTCTTCCTTCCTTTTCTGTGACACAGAGAAAATCAAACACAAGCTTGGAACTTTGGCCACGTCAGTCAACCCTTCTGTAGGGACGTTAGCTTTCTACACTGGAAGTAACGTTCCCTGCAGAGATTAGCGCAGCAGCAGCAGCAGCAGCAGCAGTGTTAGTCACTAGAGCCCAGGGAGTGCACAGGTGCCTCAAAACACACCTGCAATCTCCACAGAGCTGCATCAGATAAGCTATGACAGAGGAGCCGGAAACAAAGAGGGACGCAAGGAAGAAAGCTCCGGCTCCGGCTCTGGCTCCGGCTCTGGCTCCGGCTCTGGCTCCGGCTCTGGCTCCGGCTCTGGCTCTGGAGGAAGAGATTGATGGCGGGGACAACATGGAGCTTGAGAATTCCCCTAAAATAACCACCTATCTGATAACAATTCCAAGTGCAGTATTGAAGTTTAAACATCTCTCAACGGACAAAAAGCCTGTTCCTTTAAGTTCGTATAAGTTACCAGAACCTCTCCTGGAGGGGCCCTTCGGCTTGGGGCCTCTAGTTTTCCCTGCTCTTCAACGTTTCAACAACATTGACTGCTTCCTGTTTCTGTACTTTCTGTTGGCCACAGCTCATGGTAAGTGGAAGGATCAGAGCTGCTCTCCTGACAGCAGTAGTGAGGTAGAGGAGGCTGGCATACTGCAGGAAGGAAAGGGTTGATGATGAGGCATCAGTTAGCCAAATCCGCTGCCCTTGCCGCCAGTCCTTGGCCACCTGCTTTGCAGGGTCCAAGGGACACCATGGTATCAGCTTCTGGTCTCCAGATATAGAGCTGATCAGAAGGCGGTATTGTTAGTTATTTGATGACCAACTCCAGTTCTGGGTTCTACGTCTTGCAGATGAATGTTGAAGACAATATTGGCAGCAGGAGGTGGTTTCTATTCACAATTGTGAAACACTCCTACAGGTTTCTGTATGCATCTTGTTTTTTTTTTTTTTTTTTTTTTTTTTCATCTTTGAATTGAGTGGGGTGGGACTGGTGGTGGGAGTGGGTGGAAGCAGAAAGGGCGTTTTTATTCACACGATGCCTTCTCCTTCCTGTTTCTCCCTCTTGTATTATTTGACTTTTAAATTTATACTAATAATTTTTATTTCTATAAAAAGTCTCACTCACTTCTGAACTTACCTTTACCAAGTGTTCTAGTTAACTCCGATGGTGGTTTTTTGCCCACCACTTGGCTCTCACACTTATCTGTTGCCAGTGAGAGGCATCTATCAAACGTATAGCAAGAATTTTCTATGGTTTTCTGCTTTGCTGGTGGTTTGGGCAGCAGAAGCAACCAATCTCGAGTGACTGAAGTTCTTAGAGGTAAAATAGGGAATTGACATCCTATCAGCAGCAATCCTGAATGTTTCCTCAGCACGTGCTACTTGGGTCTAGCTGTGACAACCGCCAGGGCAACAGACAAGCAGGCGATCAGCTGCTTCTCAGTGTCTGAGGCAGTTGGACAGCAGCAGTTGGGTGTAGTGAAGCAACAACTCTCGGTCCAGCACCTTTGCAGACATAAGAGTTTTAATTTGCAACTATTTTCTGTTTTCCCTCCAAGAAATATAGTTGTAGTTATTTCCTGTATCAAGCTATTTTTGTTTCAATATATATATATATATATTCTTCCTTACATGCTGGATGGTGATTTTATACATATAATGTTACCACCTATTCAATACTCAAGAACATGAAACAATTTAAATTAAATACACATTTTTCTTTAAGATTGAAAATGCTCAGAAATGTTAACCTTCAAGCACAGAATTCTAGCTTTGGAACAAGATTATATTTAGGAATTTAAGCTGTGTTTCAAATGTTTTCATAGTTTTGATTTAAAAATGTGTAAACATATGTTATATTATTAATTCTTCATAATTGATACATAGTACATTTAAAAGGAGGGATAGGATGATAAAACCATAATTGATTTTTAATAAGCTACTTATAGAAGTAGTTAAAAGAGATTTTAATATTCAAGTAAAAATATTTTGTGGAAGATTAATGAATCACTTTTTGTATATAGGTTTTACACATTCATAGTACTATAAAATAAGCTTCAGTGTAAAATCTTCTTTGAATGATTACAACAGTGATATATATGCTTTGTCTATTGAAATGTACTATATTGCCTTTTGTCTTTCTTTTGAATTTTTAGGTATTGTATTTTCTCTTGTTGATATGAGTTTTAGAAAATTGGACAAGGAATTGTCTCTGTCAGAGACAGAGAGATACATACTGGATTACAGTGATTATCATGCATCTTTCCTGGTAGCCATACTTGTAGCACACTATGGAGGCAGAGGGAACAGGTCAAGATGGATGGCAGTTTCTGCCTTTATATTAGGAATTGCATCAATTGTATTTGCTGTTATTTTCTACGAGTATGAAATTATAAAAACAGTGGAAGAAAGTGAAGGTAAGATTTTTTTTGAAATATATTATCATGGACTAAATCAATATGGAAATAATTGGTTCAAGGAATTTAAAATAGGTCATGATGTGTGTCTATGTATCCTTTCCTTGTTTATGTAGCCATATTATTGACTAAGTACATTAGTCTAATTAATTGGCTCTCTGATTTACCCCACAGAAGAGATGACCCTAGGAAAGAACATTGTGGGATAATTTGTAAAATCATTTCTTTTATATACTTTTACATGTGTTATAAATTTCTTGAGAAGTTGATTAGATACTTTAATTTTTTCTTTCATTTTCTTTGTAGCACAGACCCACATAAGTTCAGATACAGGAATATGTCCACACATACAAAACGAGTAACTTTCCAAGTTACTCTTACCATTGTAAAAGTTGGATGCTACTCCATGAATACCATTTGAATCTGTAAAGATAGTGGCTTTCTCATGCTGTTTGATATTGTTTATTTTGCAATCATTTTACTTTTCCTAGTAAATAAGATCTACTTGAAATGTACTTAGAGTATATTTCTAACACTATTGTCCAAAATTTTTCCTTATCATATATATTTTTAAAATTTAATTTTGAAAACAGCTTGTTTTACATTTCAAGATTCCATTTTTTTCCTATGGATTAGTACTCCATTGTGTAATTGTACCACAATTTCTTCATTCATTCTTCAGTTGAGGGGCATCTATGTTGTTTCCAGGTTCTAGCTATTAGAAATAATGCTGCTATGAACACAGTTGAACATATGTCTTTGTTGCAAGAATGTGCATCTTTTGGGTATATGCCTAAGAGTGGAATTTCCTGACTTTGTGGTAGACTGATTTCCACTTTCCCGAGGCACCGCCATATTGACTTGCAAAGAGTTTGAACAAGTTTGCACTCCCACCAGCAGTGAAGGAGTGTTCTCTTTTCTCTCCAGCATAAACTGTCTTTGGTGTTTTTGATTTTAGACTTTCTGACAGGAGTTACATGGTATCTCATAGTTGTTTTGATTTGTATTTCCCTAATGGTTAAGGATGTTGATTACTTTTGTAAGTGTCTTTCAACATTTTAGATTCCTCTATTGAGAATTCTCTATTTTTCTTTTCCACACCTTTTAATTGGGTAAGTTGGTGTTTTTGTGACTAGCTTCTTGAGTTCTTTGTATATTTTGGAAATCAGCCCTCTGTCAGATGTGGTGATGGTGAATATCTTATCCCATTCTGTGGACTGATGTTTGGTCTTGTTGACTGTGTCCTTTGCCTTACAGAAGCTTCTTAGTTTCAGGAAGTCCCATTTATTAATTGCTGATCTCAATGTCTGTGCTACTGGTGTTAAATTCAGGAAGTAGTTGCTTGTACCAATTCGTTCAAGGGTACCTCTCACTTTCTCTTCTAAGAGGTTCAATGTGGCTGAATTTATATTTGATCCATTTGGTCTACCTGTCTATTATGCACCAATACCAGGCTGTTTTCAGGACCACAGCTTTATAATAGAACTTGAAGTCAGGGATGGTGATGCTTCTGGAAATTCCTTTATTGTAAAAGGTTGTTTTGGCTTTCCTGGTTTTTTTTTTTTTTTCCATCTAATGTTGGGAGTTGTTCTTTTAAGGTCTGAGAAAAATTGTTCTGGGATTTTGATGGTGATTGCATTGAATATGCAAATTGCTTTTTTGACATGATTGCTATTTTTTTACTATGTTGATCCTACCTATGCAAGAGCTTGGGAGATCTTTCCATTTCCTGTTATCTTCTTTAAAGACTCAAAGTTCTTATTATATAGGTCTTTCACTTATTTGGTTAGCATTACCCCAAGATATTTTATGTAGTTTGTGGCTATTGTAAAGGGTGATCTTTCTCTGATTTCTTCCTCAGCCCCTTTATTGTCTGTATGTAGCAGGGCTACTGAATTTTCTTTGTGTTAATCTTGCATCCTGCCATTTTACTGAAGGTGCTTATCAGCTGTTGGAGTTCCCTGGTAGAGTTTTTCAGGTCACTTATGCAAACAATCATATCATATGCAAATAGTGAAAGTTTGATTTCTCCCTTTCCAATTTGTATTCCCTTGATCTCCTTTTGTATTCTTATTGCTCTAGCTAGAACTTCAAGTACAATATTGAAGAGATATGGATAGAGTGGACAGCCTTGTCTTGTTCCTGATTTTAGAGGAATTGAGTTTCTCTCCATTTGGTTTAATGTTGGCTTTTGGTTTGCTGTATATTGTGTTTAGATGTGTTTCTGCTATTCCTGATCTCTCCAAGACCTTTATCATGAAGGGGTGTGGGATTTTGTCAAAGGCTTTTCCAGCGTCTAGTATGATGATCATGTGCTTTTTCTGTTTCAGTTTGCTTATATGGTGGATCACATTGATGAATTTTAGTATGTTGAAACATCAATGCATCCCTGATATTATGTCTCTTATTCATTCTTGGAATCAATTTGCTAGTATTTTATGGAGTATTTTTGCATCAATGTTCATGAAGGATATTGGTCTGTAGTTCTTTCTATTAATTGTGTTGTTGTGTGGCTTGGGTACCAAGTTAATTATAGCTTTGTAAAAAGAGTTTGGCAATGACCATTCTGCTTCTATTGCATGGAACACTTTGAGGAGTATTGGTATTAGCTGTTCTTTGAATTTCTGGTAGAATTCTGCACTGAAACCATCTGTCCCTGGGATGTTTTGGTTGGGAGAGTTTTGATGACTGCTTCTATTTCATTAGGGATTATAGATCTCTTTATTCTGCTTATATGTTCCTGATTTAATTTTGGTAAATGATATCTATCTAGAAAATTGTCCATTTCCATTAGGTTTTCAAATTTTGTGGAATTCAGGTTTTCAAAGTAAGACCTGAAGATTCTCTGGATTTCCTTAGTGTCTGTTGTTATATCTCACTTTTCATTTTGATTTTGTTAATTTGCATATTTTCTCTCTGCTGTTTGGTTAGTTTGGATAGAGGTTTGTCTATCTTGTTGATTTCCTTGAAGAACCAACTCTTTGTTACCTTGATTCTTTGTATTGTGTTCCTAGTTTCCACTTTGATTTCTATACTCCATTTGCTTATTTCTTGAAGTCTACTCCTCCAGGGTGTGATTTCTTCTTTTTGTTCTAGAGCTTTCAGTAGTTCTGTTAATTTTCTTGTGTGACTATTGTCTAGTTTTTTCATGTGGGCACTTAATGCTATGAACTTTCCTCTTAGCACTACTTTCAAAGTGTCCCAAAAGTTTGGTGGTCCTGTCTAGTGTTGAAAGTGGGATGCTGAAATGTCCCACTATAAGTGTGTGAGTTGTTATGTGCGATTTGAGTTTTAGTAGCGTTTTATGAATGTTGATGCCTTTGCATTTGGGGCATGGATGTTCAGAACTAAGACTTCATCTTGAAGGGTTTTCCCTGTGATGAATATGAAATCATGTCTTTTGATTGGTTTTAGTTTAAAGTCAATTTGTTAGATGTTAGGATTGCTACATCTGTTTCCATTTGATTGGAAAAATCTTTTCCAAATACTTAACTCTGAGGTAACACATCTGTCTTTGAAGTTGAGGTATGTTTCTTGTATGCAGAAGAATGGGTTCTGACTTCGTATCCATTCTGTTAGCCTGTGTCTTTCATAGGCGATGTTAAGACCATTAATCTCAAGTGACATTAATGACCATTCACCGTTAATTCTTGCTTGTGTTGGATTTGCTATTGGTGGTAGTATTGTGTGTGGATTTCCTCTCTCTCTCTCTCTCTCTCTCTCTCTCTCTCTCTCTCCCTCTCTCTCTCTCTCTCTCCCTCTCTCTTTTTCTTTCTTTTTGGCTGTTGGTAAAGTGGGATTATCTATTGTCTATATTTTTGTGGGAGTAGTTAACATCCTTGGGTTGGAGTTTTTCTTCCAGAACTTTCTGTAGGGTTGTATTGGTTGACATGTATTGTTTAAATCTGGTTTTGTCATGGAATGTCTTGGTTTCTCCACCTATAGTGATTAAAAGTTTTGCTGGGTATAATTGTATGGGCTGTCATCCATGATCTCTTAGTGTTGGTAGAATGTCTATCCAGGACCTGCTGGCCTTCAGAGTTTCCATGGAAAAGTCATGTGTAATTCTGATAACTTTTCCATTATATGTTACTTGGCCTTTTTCCTTTGCTGCTCTTAATATTCTTTCTTTATTCTGTATGTTTGGTGCTTTGGTTATTATATGGTGAGGGGACTTTTTTGTAGTCCACTCTATTTAGTGTCTGTATGCTTCTTGTACTTTCATTGGCATGTCATTATTTTTGTTGGGAAAGTTTTCTTCTATGATTTTGTTTTCTAAACCTTTGAGTTTGGTTTCTTCACCTTCTTCTATACCTATTATTCTTAGGTTTGGTCTTTTCATTGTGTCCCGTATTTCCTGGATATTTTGTGTTAGGGATTTATTGAACTAAAGTTTTTCTTTGGGAGATAAATCTATTTCTTGTATCTTCCACAGTTGAGGCCCAGCCAAGGTGTCAGTGACTAAACAAAACCAACCCATTACCCGCAATCCTGTGCATATAAACAATCATAGTTTCATTTATCCTGTGTGTCTCTTCCAGCATGCCCACATGTATTGTTTTATTGTGCTATTTCTATTTAGAATATGATAATTGGCTGTGTGACTACATTCAATGCAAAAATATTAAGTAAAAGAAAGTGTTGTGGTAGCAGTTGTAAGTTAATTGTACAATTAATTTTGAGTTCAATTCAGTAAAATATAATTCTTATCTTTCAAAAGAGTTGTGCGTAGATGAACAGCACCGAGCAATGTCAGATTGTTGGGGAACGAAGCTATCATACAGATCAAAATGTATCTATCTCTTCATCTTTGGGCAGTACCTCCATGGAATAACAGGGATGCCTATTTATATCCTTGGCCTGACCTTCATTTTCGACCACATTCCCACATTCTCAGCTGGGCTCTATCTAGGCAAGTTTGTTTCTTTCATATATGCATTGCCTATTTTGAATATTTATTAGGTTTCTGCAGGTATCAACTGATACATAAATACTGATACAGGAATGTGATAACACTGTACCAAGCAGTGATGACTTGTGTGAAAAACACAAGTGCAAATCTCATTGGTCTACCTAGTTTTGAGTTTTTGGAATACAAGACCAATCATCTGAATGTCCCTGGAAAAATTTAGTGGAATAGAAAATGCATGTACATCTTATGTAGCTAGATTTTTCTCTTTGTTTCTCTTTCCCTCTGGGAGAGAGTGGGGGTGGGGAGGTGACAGGGTAGAGGAAATGAAGGATAGATAGTTGATCACAGTGTCATCTCTTCCACTTACAAAGCCTTATGTGAATTGTGTCCTTAAGTAAACATTGATTCATCCCGTAATAATTTACCTAATAACCATCAATGGAGTGTGGTCCTGGTAGGCCAGAACAGAGATATGCTTTCCCAGAGATACCTAGATATCATTTTTTAAAAGACAATCCTGATTTGTACTTACTTTGTAAATGTCTATAGTTAAATATTAAAGGAAATATAGTTTATTTATGTTCATGAAATATATTGATTAAATGAGATACTATTAAGTTCATTTTTCTAAGTACTTGGTTAGGTAAGGGATGTACCACCCAGTTGTACTGTCAGACAATACTCTATATGGCACTCTGCTCTGGCACTGTCATAGGAATGATAAACAGTCATAGTCAGACACCGAGTAAAGCAGATGACCTTTTGTTCGATGAGAACAGGACTCTTTGAAGGAATGTACAGTCACAACAGTGCAGACTGGCTGTTCCTAAAGGAGCAGTGGTTGCGGCATCAAACTATAAGACTAGCATCAACCATTACATGAAGTTTCCACCAGGCTCCTACCCTACTAATTTTTTTTTTTTTTTTTTTTTAGAATCAGTTCCTGAAAACATTTGCAGTCTTTCTCTTTCACTTTCCTCCCATTTCTTCCCCTCTTTTCCTACCCGCCTCCCCTCTCTTAAGCAATAGAGATTAGCATGAAAAGCATTCAGATATGACAGACTGTTGAGTGGTGGTTTGAATGAGCGAGTTATGAAACTGTTTGTTGCTGTGTTCATTTTCAAGCTATCAGTGATGCTGCCCTAGTGCTAGGATACATGACGGGTTTTGCAATAGGATCACGGCAACCTCCTAAGCAGGAAAATCTGGATGGAGAGTAAGTTATACTATTTGCTTTTCTATTTAGTGCAGATTATGTAGAAGATTTGCTGAATGGGGTATGATAGCTCATAAATAATACACAGTTATTAAAAGTTTTAGAAAAATGTATGTAATAGTGGTTAATGTATATTTACAACATACATTTGTGTTTTCACCGTTTGAAATGTAACTAAAACCATTACTTAAAAGTTCACTAACTTTTTTATGTCTTGTTGTTAAAAGCATGCATTATTCATTCAGTATAATACTATAGTAATAATTATGTGCAGGATGTATAGAAGTTTTCATCCATTTTACTTTATTACTAAAGTTTTCTTCATACAATATATTGTGATAATATCTTTCCCTTACACCAAATTCATCCCCTCCTAGCCACATGAGGAAATTGTATCCTTTTCTTTTATTCACTGAGAAAACAACCCAACAATGACACAACCCTCACACAAAAACACAAACATGAAAATTAAAGAAAACAAGCAAGAGAATAGTAAGACAAAACTAAAAGATAAAACAAAACAAAAGGAAAAATATGTTTAAAAATTCTGACTTCATTTTGTGTTGGGTAACTACTACTGGCCATGAGACCAGGTCTGGAAAGTTGCTGTTTTACACAGTGCTGCTCTACTGTAGAAACCTTGTTGTCCCTTACAAATGGGCATCTATTGGAAATATTTTCATGTTTAGAACTGGGACTTCATGTCTCCTTCCCCTGCTCAGTGTTGGGACCCCATCTTGGGTCAGTGCAGATCTTCTGTGTATTACTACAGTCTCTGTGAGTTCATATGTGTGTCAGTCCTATTGTGTCTGGAAGATGCTATTTCCCTGGAGTCATCGATGACTTTTGGTTCTTACAGTCTTTTCCCCTTCTCTTCCATATAGAGTCCTGGGCCTTGAGGGTGGGGTTTGATGAAGACATCCCATTCAGTAATGAGTGCTCCCAAGTCTCTCACTTTTTCCACGTAATCAAGATGTGGGTCTCCGCCTTAATTACCCTCTACTACAAGAAGCTTCTCTGATGTGTGTTGAACAAGGCACTGATCTTTGGATATATTGTGCCATTAGGAGGCAATTGATTGCTGTAGTCCTTTAGCAGAACAATACTATTAGGTTTTCTCCTAGGTACATGGCTTATCTTTTCTCAGTTTCTTGGCCTCATTAGCAGTGTCAGATATGGGTTCCATCTTATGGAGTGGACCTTAAATTCAATCACAAAGTTCATGACTACTCCCAGAATGTTGGTGACACCATTGCAGTAACACAAATTGAAGGAAGGGCACTGTTGTAGGTCACAAGGTTTATAGGTTGTTGATATTGATGCTTGTTGCTCTTCTGGTAGCATGTAGAGCATCTTCCAGTACCATAAATGCTAATAAGTAGAGATAAAGTCTCTAGTTAGGCCCTAGCTCAACTTTTCCATGTTTGATGACATAAGTTAAGTGCTATCTTTGGCAATTGGGCTTGACTATCAAGTTGTGGAGAGCAACCAATAGCTTTGGTATTAACTTGTGATGTATGGGGCTTTTGTAGCATGCCTTTGGTAAATGATTCAATAAGATTTTAACTTAATCCTGAGATGTGATGACATAAATTCTAGTTGGGGCATTGTCTCCTCAATTATTTGATGAATCCATTTGGAGTTTTTTTTTTTTTTTTCATATGTGTATATATTTTAGGAAATGTCTAGAGTAGTGGGTTTTTATATGGGATTTCAAATAGTTCTTAGTGTTAGATGTTTCTCCCCACTTTTCCTCCTTTATCTGTCTCCACCATCCCCTTTCCTATTTAACCCTCTTGTTCTAGTTTCTTTCTTATCTGTCCATAACATTACATCACATTGTATTTCCCATCTTGGGAGATCCTCTCCTCCATCCTGGTCCTTTAAGAAATACCTAACCTCTGGGTTATTCTTATTGAAGTACACATTTAAAATGCTTGATAGCTAACACACACACACACACACACACACACACACACACACACACACACAGTGTTTTTGAATCTGTGTTATCTACTCAGCATGATTTTTTTCTGGTTCCATTGATTTATCTGCAACTTTCATAATTTCATTCTTAACAGTTGAATAATGTTCCATTTCATAAATGTGCCGTCTCTCTTCATTGTTCATTTATCAGTTGATGGACATCTAGGCTCTTTCCAATTTCTGGCTACTATGAGTACAGTAGCAATGAACATGGATGAGTAAGTGTCACTTTTTGTCCTTTGGGTATATTCCCAGTTCCCTCTCCCCTCCTTCCCTCCCTCCATCTCCCCTCCCTCCCTCCCTCCCTCCCTCTTTCCCTCCCTTTCTCCCTCCTTCCCTCCCTCCCACTCGCCCATGCCCCAACTGTTTTTTTTTAATGTTCATTGTTTTAGTTCTTTACATAGTTATAGATACTAGCATTCTATCTGACATAATTGGTAAATTTGTGATTATGTGTCCTTTGTCTTGTAAAAGATTTTCAACTTCATGAGGTCCCATTTTTATTAAATTTGTCCTTAGAGACTATGCTGTTGGAGTTCTGTTCATAAAGTCCTTTCCTGTGTCAATGAGTTCAAGCCTATTCCCCCCTCATCCCCACTCTATTCTGTGAGGGTCATTATAACTAATCTTATGTTGAGGTCCTTGATCCACTTTGAGTTGAGTTGTATGAAGAAGTGTCAGATATGGACCTATTTACATCCTTGTACATGCAGTTATCCAATATTACCACCAGCATTTTTGAAGATGGTATTTTCTCCAGTGTGTACTATTGATTTCTTAGAGAAAAAACAAAAACAAAAACAAAAACAAACCAAAAACCCATTGTGGGTACACAGTGTGTGTACAAAAGTAGAAATTATATCTGGTTCTTCAATTTGACTCCATTGACCAGTGTATCTGTGTGTATGTCAATACCATGATGTTTTTATTACTATAGTTCTGCAGTGTAACAAGAAATCAGAGATGGTGATACCTTCAGCAATTCTATCATTATTCAGGTATATTTTATTCTTTGTATGAAACCTAAGCTTTTTTTTCCTATGGGCTTTTTGTTGAATCTGATGTTTGTTCTTGGTAGGATAGCCATTTTGGTAGAATGTTAATTAATCCTGATCCATGAGCATAGGAGATCATATCATCTGTTGTTTTTCAATGTATAAAGATTTTATTGCACAAGTTGTTCACTCACTTGGTTTGAGAGATCTCAGTACACCTTTTGAGGCTATTGTGAAAGGTGTTGTTTCCCTGATTTCTTTCTCAGGTCTCTTTGTCATTTGCAATTAGGAAGGCTACTGAATTTTTTGTGTTAATTTTGTATCCTGCTACTTTGCTAAAACTGTTCATTGGCTTAGAAGTTTCCTGGTGGAGTCTTTAAGGTCATATTCATAAAATCATATAATCTCCAAGTAAAGATAATTTGAATTCTTCCTTTTCTATTTGTAGCTCCTTGATCTCCTTCAGTTGTCTTATTGCTCTGGGGTGGACTTCAAAGTACTACAATGAATAGTCAAATTTTAGTGGAAATGCTTTGAGTTTCTCTCAATGTCTATTGATATTGGCTGTGAGCTTGATGTAAACCACCTTTGTCATGTTGAGGTGTGTCCCTTATGTCTCTAGTCTCTCTAGGGCTCTTTATCATAGAGCATTGTTGCATCTTGTCAAAGGCCCCATGTGTATCTAATGAGATGATCATGTGGTATTGGTATTTTAGTCTATTTATGTGGCTAACTATATTTATGGATTTAAGTATGTGGACCAATCCTGCATCTCTGGGACTAAGCTTACTTGATCATGGTGAATGATCTTTTTGTTGTGCATGTGTATTCAGTTTGCAAGAATTTTATTGAGAATTTTTGTATCTATGTATCCCTTGTAATGCTGAAAAGCTACATTGCATTAACAGAATCCTAAAAACCTGAATCTAGGGTACTGTATAGCCTTTACATTGTGATTACAGACTGCAGACCCAGAGACTATCTTTGGTAGAATTTTTAAAAAGCAAATGACAAAGACAGTTTTATTAAGAAGATTAGAACTGGCTCCACCCCTCTGTCATTGCTACAGAGGTGAGTTAGCTAGGGAATGCTGGAGAACTTATCCTGGTGTTAAGGGTAGGAGAGAATTGGTGGGCAGACCAACCCTGCAGTTGCCCAGGTCCAGATCCAGGGTTATGAGTTGGTTGAGCCCAACATCAATCCCATCAATGGTCTGCTAGAGCACACAAGGGAACCTGACCCACAGACAGAAAGCCCCAGGATCTCCATGACACAGTGCAACAACAGGATACCCAAGAAGAGTTTCAGTGAGGGCTCAGCATCTACAGTATGATAGAAACCAGAGGCCTTGAGCCAGACCAATGACACTTTTCAATGAACACTTGTAAATAATGATACAAGGACAAGGTTACTCACTGTGTCACACTCCTGCTTCCATGGTGATATTTTTCATTTTCACCCCTTTTCTCTTAAAGTTTGCTTTATTTGGGGTGGGTACAAAGGTGGACGGTAGATTCTCATGGATGGGAAAATGAATGGTATCAAGATAAATGATGTAAAAGACACATGCAGTAAAAAAAAATAGTAGAGGATTAGACTAGAGACAGCAAGATGGCTTATTGTACATAGATGCTTGCCACACCAACTCTAAAGACCTGTTTTGAAATTGCAGAGCACACAGGATACAAACTTCTGACAATTGTGCTCAGACCTCTTCACATATCATACTGATACACATACACATGCATGCAAAATTGAAAAAAAATTGATAAGCACTTTTTAAAGAAAAATCTGCAATAAATGTCTACTATATTAGTATCTGAAGGTTGCATGAACAAGAGCTTCATTGTAAATGACCTCAGCTACAAATCAAAATTATGCAAGGCATTCTATCCACATGAAAAGCAATGTGAATTAATTCTTCAACAAATAATTTACAATATCTGTTTTATAGAAACTCAAATAAGCTTTAAGAAGATACAGAGAGAACTGAAGAAATGACTCATTTTGGAAAAAAACACTTGTCAAGTTTTACAACCTGAGTTCAATTCCCAGGACTCTCATGGTAGAATTCAAGAATTTACTCATGTTACTTTCCTCTGACCAACACACATGTGCCATGGCACATGTTTAAAATGCATAGTTGTCTTTAAAAATGAAGTGTACTTTGGGATTTATTAGAACGTCTTACAGGCTGTGGTCAGACTAATCCTACAAAGGCTGCCTGTGATGAAGGTCAGTAGCTTTTTAGCTCATAAGACTGGGTGTTCAGCTGGTCTTCTGTATATATTGGAGTCCTTAAGAATGTCAAATATTTTTCAAATATTTGTTGCTCATTTACATTTCTTTAAGAACTGAATATTTGAGTTTTTATCATATGTCTGACAGTGAGTGCTCAGACTTCTTCCTGGCCACTTTTGCTCATTGTTGGCTCGCTCTGTCCCTCCATTTCTTTACTGGTGTTAGAGCCCAATTCTTCAGGACGTATATTCCCAAGTAATGTCTCCCCAGTGAATAACACTGTGAACATTTCCACTCTATATGAAAGAGAAAGTCTAATGACTTTATCAAGTCTTTTGGGAAAACAGATCCTCCAAAGAAAGCTTTTGTGAAGTGACTTTTTCCTGGTATATGTAACTGGTTAGCGAAGATTTTGGGTCTTTTTTTTAAGATTTATTTATTTGTATTTATATGTGTGAGTGTCTTGCCAGTATGTATGCCTGCATCATATGTGCGGAGTGACCACTAAATAGAGAGGAAGGTGTTGAATCCTGTGAAAATGAATTGTTAGCTACCAAGTGTGTATTGGAAACCCACCCTTTTCTTTCCAAGGGCATTCAGTGCTCAGATCTCTGGCTGAGTCTTCTCTCTAGTTTCTGGCTAAGATTTTCCATGGGTGTGGACCTGAAAAGATTAGTAACAATGTAAACTGATTGGTGGTGGTATACATTTAATTCCTGCACTCAAGAGGGAGAGTTATATGGATCTTTGAGAGTTCAAGGATAGGCTGGCCTATGCAGCTAGTTCCAGGACAGACAGGTTTACACAGGAAATCCTACTTAAAAACAAAACAAACAAACAAACAAAAAACTAAAACTAAAAACAAAAACCAATCCAAACCAAACAAACAACAAACAAACAAAGTAGTAATTGTGTCCACTGACTTCTGTAGATCTTATTCCCAAATGGTAAAAACAGACAAGCAAAATACTTTGTTAACTTTGAAAACTGTTCTAGGTGGCCTCGGTATTGATTAAAGACAAGAGATGCTGATAGCTCATAGTCACTCTGTGAAAGAGAAAGTTAGCAAATCCCAGCACAGGAACATTCCTATTCTCTCTCTGCCTTTGCCAGCTGCAGAGCTCTGTGAGAAGCAGAGGAAGCTTTAGGAGAAAGTGACACGGTCCTGTGTAGAAATGGAAAGACCAAAGAAGGATCAAATATACTGAGCACAAGAAACACAAAGGAAGGGACTTCAGATGATGTGTGACTTCAAGGGTCAGGTGCCATATACAGGAGGAGCTGGTCAACTTCAGAGCAAGGCTTCTTGCCCCAGAGGTCCAGGTGCAAGATTTAAAGGAGCAGGGTAACAAAGGAAGGCCTGGTTTCCAGGGGCACAACTTTCAATGGAGATGATTTTGAGTAGGAACAAGCAGGAACTTCTTCCACCTGAGTAGTGTCACTGGAGAGGGAACTGGGAAAGTTGGGATCTGATGGGAGGAAGAAGGCACCACACAACTGAATACTAACAACCGACCCTCGCAAACAAAACCCCAAAATTAGTAGTGACAAATTAAAAATGAATGCATATTAGCAGAAAATTCTCTCTCCCCCAACTAATTAAGATTTTTTTTTAAATAATCCTAACTTAAATTTTCTATTTTTCTTTGTTCAAGTGTAAATGAGAATCATTTTCGAAAGCTTCAGCAAAATTGGTGGAGCGGATTTTTAGTAGTTGCTCTACTCTCATGGTGTACAGTTTTACCATTGTTATGTTTCCCATCTAGGTTACCAGGTAAGTAAAAAAAAAAATGTAATTAACTAAAGCAATTCTTACCATCAGCTCCCATTCACAAAGTACAGATAAACTATATTTCTTTGTGAGTATGTCTCTCCTACTGGTAATTCTCTATAATAATGAAACAGTATCTTAGTTTTTTTTTTTTTTTAAACCAAATCAATAAACATCACATCAGAACATATATTTGTATACTACATTTTCATTAGTATATGTTTGTATCACTCTTTATTTCTTTTTAAAATACCCTTTATATTTAAAGTGTATAGCTGTCTTTTAAAAGTGAAGTATACTCAAATCTATTCCCCTAATGTTTTAGTTAGAATTCTCTAGAGTAACAGAACTTATGAAATAAACCCCCCTCTATCTATCTGTTTTTATCTATGTCATTTATATGTATTTTCAGGCTGTGCATGAAGTAATAATTAACCAAATGTTAATTATTAAGTGGGACTATGGAATTCTATATTAAATTAAGAGTTAATTAATTCGGCACACTTCCAGCAATTAAAGAGACATGCATAGTGGTTGATTGCAAAATTGGGCAGTGCAGATGTGTGAAATTTTCATTATCAAATAATTGTCTTTTGTGAAGCCCTACTCTAGAAGAATTTGCATCCCTAAAATAGGCATTGGCTTTAGTCTGTTTAAAATAGCTCACATGTCTCTCCATGACAAATTGGAATTATTGTAATACGTACAAATTCTGATGTACATTTTCTTACTGAAATGGATGTATCAAAAGATTGTTTTGTTTGTGACCTATAGGTGCATACAAGCTAAGTCTTGAGAAAGAAAAGGAACCTCCCTCCTTTGACAAGAGACTTAAAAATGTGCACTTTGGATCTAGTTTGAAGAATATGGTTCAGGCTGTTCAGGTAAAATAAAATACTTTTATATTGTGAAGCCTATTAAGGTGACTTGTTTAATTTTCTTACACAGTTAAGACAATGACAAAGTCTTTAATTTAAATTTGGGTGAAAGTTTTGAAGTCTCTTAATTAAATTGCTAATTTCCCTTGTAATGGAAAGGGAGAGCCCTTGATTTGGCATTGGTAGGGACCTGTCTAGTGCCAGAACCTGATGACACACAAATAGAACTTTGATTTAGTTTTCATTGTTTTTATGTGTTTGTTTTATGTTTATTTCCTTTGAGAAAGAAGGCACTTAACAAAAATTTCATGAATCGAAAGAAATCCACTTGTCATCACATATTCCCCCCCACACACACACAAAAAGTCACAAGCTTGAATACAAAATACCGTGTCTCCATTGATGTTAAATAGGACTACCACAGTAACAGATATCAGGATGCAGAGAAAGCCCCTCCCAACACTCTAATCCTATTGCGAATTGCCTCGACCTGCAAAACTTCAACTTAAAGGAAAGGGGCAGGGGAGGTGAGAAGAATAATTGAGGACCAGGTGAACACAGAATATAGAAAATCACAAAGAATGGATGTTGACATGGGTGGAAAGATCAGGAGTTATGAGAACAAGAAAGGTTACCATGGTGATGGGGTTAGTGGTTATATGCTAGGCTGATCTTGCTAAATAGGGCTAGTTACTAAATCATCAAACCTTTGTGGAATAACTGAAGTCTCTAAATGTACAGCCAAGAGAAAGCCAGAGTTCAGCCAAGATCTTTCCCTAACTGAGCATAGATACAGCCTCAGTTTCCAACAGTGAATATTTTTTCTTCTATTTATAACATTATTTTCTGGCAAATAGATTGCATGGTTCTAATTTCAAATACAAATTAATTAAGTTTCACTGAATTTTACACTATGAATAAAACTCCCAAAAGTCTTTGAAATAACATCAATTGAATTTTCCTATCCCAACTCAAATTAGAATTATATCTCTGTATTCCCAATTTTCCATTATTTCTTTTTCTCTTTTTGTTGTTTTGTTGTTCCTTGTTCTACTCTTAAAAATTTTATTACTTTTAAATTTTTTATTTTAAAATTAAAATATAATATGGCCTTTCCCCCATCTCTTTCTTCCCTTCTACCCTTTCCATGTGCCCCAACACCACTTGATCTCTTTTAAGTGGAAGTTTTATAGTTAACTAAGACACAGTACTGACAGCAAGTGAAATAACCTTCATTTATTTACTGGCTAATACCTACATATAAACAGATACATTCCATATTTACCATTTTTGGGTCTTGTCTATCTCACTCAGGATGACTTTTTTTTTTTTCTAGTTGCATTCACTTGCCTGCACATTTCATTATGTATTTTTTTTTTTTCATAGCTGAGTAATACTCCTTGGTGTAAATGTACCACGTTTTTCCTCCATTCTTCTGTTGAGGGAAATCTAAGTTATTTCCAGTTTCTGGCTATTATGAATGTAGCACCAATGAACATGTTTGACCAAGTGTCCCTTGGTAGGATGAAGCATCATTTGGGTATATGCCTAAGAGTGGTATAGCTGAATGTTGAGATAAATTGATTCCCAACTTTCTGAGGAATAGCGATATTGATTTTCATAGTGGCTGTACTAGTTTGCACTTCCACCAGCAATGGAGGAGTATTCCCCTTGCTCCACATCCTCCCCGGCATGAGCTACCATTTGCGTTTTTTTTATGTTAGTCATTTTGACAGGTGTCAGATGAAATCTGAGTCATTTTGATATACATTTCCCTGTTGGCTAAGGATGCTGAACATTTCTTTAAGTGTTTCAGAGATATTGGACTTTCCTCTGTTGTAAACTACCAGTTTAGATTGGTACCCCATTTTTAAAAATTGACTCTTTCTCTTTTGCTGTTTAGTTCCTTGATATATTGGATGTGGATCTGATAAATACTATTTTCCACTCAGTAAGCTGCTGATTTGTCCACATGACTGTGACCTCTGCCTTACAGAGGCTTGTATGAGATATCTACCCTGCCCATACCTGTTGCACAGACCACGCCCATTGGGGCGTGGAGATACATGTGGGGCATGACGGGGGGGGGGGGCGGGGTAGATTAGGTCTGGGGTCCTGGACTCCAGCTTGCTCTCTTGCTTCCTGGTTGGAGACAGAGTGTATTGGGAGGCACCTTTGGGATGGGAACCTTTTGGCAGTCGTCTATTTCTGGTGTAAGTGATTTCTCCCTGAATGAATAAATGTCCATCAGCCTATCGTTACCCAGATTCTTGCCCCCTCCCCCAAATCTGGATTTTCACAGGATCTGGGGAGTTAGGCATCTGTAACTCACTGCTTCTCCCCCCATCCCAACTATCCGGCAGTCTCTTGCAGTTTCATCTGCACTGAAGTTTTTTTTTTTTTTGCTGGCTCATGAGTGCCAGCTGTTGTCACCAGTTGCCCCCTGCTGCCTCTGCAGTCGCTTCTGCTGACCCAAACCCAAACACGGGCAGGGTCCCTTGACTAAACCAGTGGGACACACCACAGCTTGGGATGTTTGTGTCTGCACTGCAACTCCTATATCTCCATGCAGTGGCCCCAAGACTGCAATCACCCCTGCTGCTGCCCATCCCCCACCCTGCCCTGCTTGTGTCATCTGATTTCCAGTCATCTGGTATCAGAGGCAAGACCTGTTGGCACTGCAGTCCTGGCAATTTATGCAAAGATCCTTTCATTCCTCCACTTAACAAATTTCACTGGCTTTAGTTTTGTTAAGAACTATTCTACAGGGACCAGGATCAGAAGGATCTCCTGCTGCTGGACACTATTTGGTGGTTCATCTGTGCACCACCTACTGGCCAGGTGTAATTATTACAAGTTGAGATCTGCAACTAAAAGCTTCAAAGTCCCAGGGCAGCAGGATTATATCTAGAGTAATTACAATATCTTACCCAATTTAAGTAGATATAATAACTGAGATCAATTGTTCCATACCAATGGCATATAACCTTATGGAGCTGGACCTTAGGAATCTTTTAGTTTCATATAAGGAGGGGATCTTAGAAGAGGACCATGACTTAACCAAAGTATACATTTTTCTAATAATGGTGATTAGTTTTGTAATCAATATAATATTCTTAAAGAAAGAGTTTGAGATTAGAGCAAAGAATAAGTAACTTGTACAAACCATAGGACACCAAGTAACAAGGATTCAGAATATTGAAGAAGAGGTACGGGTAATAGGACATGGAAGAGATTTAAAATTTCCTACACAATTCAGGGAAGACTTGCCTAAGGTCATTATGCCATCCCCAATGGCTTTCCCTGTATCTCTTACTGAAAAATCAGAAAAAAAATAAACCCAACACCCAAAAGATTTTGTTGCATGTCAGTGGGAACAAGTAAGTATGAAAGATTTAAAAGGAATGAAGAAAGCAGTATTCTCTTATGGCATGCACTCACCATATGTGAAGAAATTAGTAGAATCATGGGCAAGGAATAACAAGGTAACCCCTAAGGACTGAGATCAATTAATATCAGCTGTCCTAGAAAAATTGTCTCAATTAGAATGAGGGCTTTATGGAGGGAAGAAGCAAAAGCTCTTGAACTTCAGGGTTTAAAGAAAGGTTATCTTTGGTTGTGAGCCTAGCATTTAATGGCTGAGCCATCTCTGTAACCCTAAAGAAAGATTATAAAGATCCCCAATATAAAATTCTTGGTGAGGATCTTTATGCTGACCCAGAAACTCAAGCTGCATATGATGAACACATCTTGTCTCTATGTAGTACAGCAGATTTGAATGCGTGGGATAAGGTTCATGAACCAGGGGAGAGAATACAATCCTATACCAATCTGAGGAGTGTATTTTTACAAGGATTGTATAGAGCAATAAAATTATAGGTAGCAGACTCAGATTCTAGGTGAATACTTATAGACTCATTAGCTTATGAGAATGTAAATCCACAATGCAAACAAGTGCTTTGGCCCTTAAAAAGTTGGCCCTTAAAAATCAGATGAATGGGTCCTGTTTACAGCCAACATTGAGTATATCCACCATGACACTGAAGCTTGGGTAGGAGAAATGATATCTAAAGGTTTGAGAAGACAACAAGATAACAGATGTCTTAACTATGGTGGCACTGAAGCTTGGGTAGGAAAAGCAATCTTCAAAGGTTTGAAAAGACATCAAAATACCAGATGTTTTAATTGTGGTAGGATAGGACATTAAGAAGAAATTGTAGGCAAAGCACTCCTAGAAATAACACTCTAGGAATGAATCAAACAAAAGGCCTCAGCCTTCTGGATTATGTAGAAGATGTGGAGAAGGCTGATACCGGAACAATGAATGTAGATTGACCAGAGACAAGCAAGGAAACCCTTTACAATTGGGAAAGGGGGTGTGGATATTCTCAGTCACTGCAGAGGTCAGTCTTTCCCAGGAGGATTAAAAAAAATCTAGTGCCTATCATAAATAATCATACCGCTCTGGATGACAGATTATCTACGGAAGGTGAGTCAAACAAAAGTGGAGTAAACAAAAACCATATATTTTGACAAACTTCTATAAATATTCAAAGGCCTAAATTAAAAGTGAGAATGAATAACAGATTGGTAGAAGGGATCCTTGAAACTGGTGCTGATGTGACCATCATAACTAGTAAATTTTGGCTTCCAAGATGGCCCCTGCAAGAGGTAAATATTCAATTCTTAGGGTTCAGAACCCTATCTCAGGTAAAACAGAGCAGGAGATGGATTGAATGTATAGGACCGAAAGTGTAGAGAGGAAGGTTGAGACCATATGTGGTTGTATGGAGATAAATTTATGGAGTTGTGATCTATTACAGCAATGGAATACACAGATTAACATTCCTCCTCAGTTAGATGTGCACCTTAAATGAACTCATGATTGTAGAAAAAATATTACAAAGTACTATACAAGACAGACAGATACCAAATATCCACGCTGTACAAAAACAGAACACAAGTGCCAAACAAAGGAACCAAAAGCCCTACCCTTAAAATGGCTAACAGATGTACCTGTCTGGGTAGGGCAATAGCTTATGACCTTTGAGAAACTAGAGGCTTTAGAAAACCAGTTCAGAAAGAGCTAAATGCTAGAAATATCGAAGAATCCACTAGCCCTTGGAATTATCTTGTATTTGTTATAAAAAAAGAAATCTGGTAAATGGAGAATGATTACAGACCTAAGAGCCATCCATAAAGTAATCCAGCCCATGAGCTCTCTACAGCCTAGAATACCCTTGCCTTCTCCGACACCTAAAGAATGGGCTATTATAGTTATTGATTTCAAAGATTTCTTCTTCTCTATACCTTTACAAGGAAAAGATAAAGAAAAATTTGCCTTCATGGTACCTAATTACAATAATTCTCAGACAGTCAGGAAATATCAATGGAAGGTTTTGCCATAGGGAATGATAAATGGCCCCACCCTGTGCCAATATTTTGTGCAAAATCCTTTGGAGATAATTCATAAACAGTTTCCATAATTTACCATTATATAGAATATATATTGTTGGCTGATTTTAATGTGGAAATATTTGAAAGAATGTTTGAGGAAGTAAAGGAAGTTTTACCTCACTGGAGATTACAAACTGCACCAGAAAAAAATACAAAGAACAGATTCAATCAATTACTTGGGATATAAAATAAGTCTACAGAAAATTAGATCACAAAAAGTACAGATCAGGAGAGATTGTTACCAGACTCTTAATAATATTCAAAAATTACTGGGAGAGGTTTCTCAACTACAGACCATTATTGGAGTAGAATGGCATGATTTGAAAAACTTGATAATGGCCCTCAAAGGGGTTAAGGACTTGAATAGTCCACGGATACTATCAGCAGAAGCTGAAAAGGAATTAGAATGGGTAGAAAAGAGGATACTAGAAGCACACGTGGACCATGTGGATCCCAAACTAGTCTGTGCTCTGATTATATTACCATCTAGAGAATATCCTTCAGGGATTTTGATGCAGAGGGAAGATATCATATTAGGATGGATATTTATACCACATAAACAGAACAAAAAACTAAAAGCATACATAGAAAAGATCTCCGACTTGATTTTAAAAGGTAAATTAAGACTTTGTCAACTGACAGGAAGGGACCTAGCAGAAATTATACTACCTTTAACAAATGAGGAAATTTTCTTCTTAAGGAATGATAATGAATATTGGCAGAGAGCTTGCAGTAACTTTTTGGGAACAATTAGCAACAATTATCCCAAAAGTGAAAGAATCAAATACATAAAGAAGACAATTTGGATCCTTCCACACATTGTAAGATAAACACCAATCTCTGGAGTTCCTACATTCTACACTAACGCAAACAAATCAGGTAAGGCAGGATATAAATCAGGAAAAGTAAATAAAGTAGTTCAAAACCCTTATAATTCTGTACAAAAGGCAGAATTGTATGCCATTCTCATGGTACTTAGAGATTTTACAGAACCTCTCAATATAGTTGCTGAATCTCAATATGCATAAAGAATTGTCTTACATATTGAGACTGTGTACAGAAGTTACTTCATTGTTTATACAATTACAAGAATGTATCAGTAATAGGACTCACACATCAGATCCCATACAGGATTGCCAGGTCCTCTAGCACAAGGCAATGATACAATTGATTGGTAATTAATGGGAAATGTGCTGGTGGCCTCGGATTTCCATAAAAAAAAAATCACCATGTGAACAGCAAAGGATTTTTCCATCACTTGCCATCAAGCTAAGGAAATAGTAAGAAAATGTCCTACTTGTTCATTTTTTAACCAAACCCCTCTACCATCATGGAGTAACCCAAAAGCTATAAATAGGAATGAAATATAGCAAATGGATGTGTTTTGAGAGGGAATTGGAATCAATATGTAAAATAAGAAAAAAAATAATGAATTTAATACTTAGAACAAATAGGGCATTCTTAGAAAAACTATCAAATCTATAAGGATGTGTAATAGAATAGAACACAAACTGAACTTCTAAATTATATGATGAAACACACAAGTTTGTGTGTTTATGCATGTGTATGTATGTAGGTATTCACATATGTTCAGGTTCACATACAAATGAGTACACATATGTGTGGAGTTAAAAGACTTCAGGTGACATTTCTCAGGTACTATACATGTTTATTTTCTTTTTTGAGACACACTAGCTAGACTGCTACTTGCTGTGTAGCTTACCAGTAGGTGTCAGGGACCACACTTGCCATCACCATCTCTCTGCACTGATATGAATGTGTGGCACTATGCCTGACAGTTTTTACATGGGTTCTGGGGATTGAGGTTAGGTCCTTGAACAAAGCAAGCAGTTTGCCAACTGACACCTCTGCAGACCCCCCAAAATGCAGATTTATATTTGAAAATATAAAATCACAAAGGAAATACTATCTTTTGTATTTCTGTATGACAACATTTTGGAAGGTTAGGGTATCAGTTTTTCTAATTATATGTTCTATGCCACATATCTGTTGCTGCATGAAAAAAGGTAGTAGTGTGACAGAGAACTGTTTTACTTACTAGTGCAAAACTGTATGAAGCTTTATTCCTCTCAGCAGCACATGGGGTGACCAAAGTGCTCACGATTTGAAGGATGGAATTATCTCAAGGTTCCTTTGTGTTATCACTGGATAGTTTTCGGAACACTCATACGTGGCCTTGCTGGCAATTGTAAGACCTTCCCATGTTCAGTGAGTTAGTGATGTAATGGTACATGCCTGCAAGGGTCAAACCTGAGCAATTGCTCTGAGGAATCTGAGAGTATAAACTGGACTCTGAGATATTGAGGTGCCGTTATAAAAAGATACAACCGGAGGAAAATTTTGGAGCAACAAGTGAAATAAATTACTCATAATCCCCAATATCCAAAAATGTCTTCCAAGAACATACAATTCAGAGGAGATCAAAATAGTATGCATAGGGATTTTTATTGTAACCATGTTTGTGACACTGGGGAGTTGAAGGTGACATAGATATTTGATTCTATAGGAATCAATAGATAAAGTGGAATCACATGACACAAAGTTAGAAAGTTCTCATCCAGTGGGTCAGGTAAATACAAAATCATGAGTGTACCCAGTTAGACACCAAGAAGTACTTTCAACATGCTAGTGGATCCAGAGATAAAAGTTGTATTTGCTGTATAGAACAACCAAATTACAAATCTCTTATGGAATATGCCTATTATAGAATTATATAACTTTGTTTACGTAACTCTTTTTAATCTATAGGAATCCACTTCTGCAGATTTATCGTTGGAATGGGAAGACATGAAATCATTGTGATGTGATTTGTTCTGTTTCAGTGTCTGTTGAGGAACCCGCTGCTGATATGTTACTCACTGTGCAAAACCACAGAGAACCTGACTTTTAGGGGATCTACATCATTTGTGCCCGTTTATTTAGAAAATCAGTTTTTGTTAACACCCTCACTTGCCAATATGCTCACAGGTAGATTCTTTTTCCTTCTTACTGCGCAGATTTCTATACTTCCACACTGTGTATATTTAAGTGTGATATGTATATTTAAGAAATATGTAATGTAAGCAGAATACACAGGTAAAGTGTACTTAGATGCCACTTACTAAAACTATAAACACATGAACATGCTGCACCACAGCAATATTTTTAACACATAAACTTCACTTTTCTGTTTCTATTGATCACTATCTTCCTGCCTGCAGTCTACAGGCCTATTTCCTTTCCCCTTCTTCATAGGAAGCCAGGCTTCTCAAGCCACAATGTGTCCTGTCTTTTTCTGCTTCTATATCTTTCTTCTTGTGGGTCATGTTCTATAAACTATTCACATCATGTCCTATGGAATCTTCTATTTCTTTCACCAGAAACTACATTTTTCAGATTCACATTGTTTTAAACTTTATGCATTGCAATTATGCTGTGGTTGGCACTCTTCATTCTTTAAATGCCACTGTTCATGTACATGCACTTGTTACTATACTAACAGATATTACATTAGATTTCATCTTAATACCTCTAAACAATGTCACAATGCAGGCAGGAGCCCTTTCATATCCCTTAATTCATACTTGTAAATTTTTTTTCTGTTTTGACAGCAAAAAGGAATTGCTATTATTAACAATTTTTTGTTTAATTTATTTAATTTAGAAATAGTCTTAATTTACATATCAATCCCAGTTCCCTCCCCCTCCCATCCTCCCACACCTCCCCCATCCCAACTCCCTTCTACTCCCCAGGAAGGTTAAGGGTTTCCATGGGGAAGCATCAGTGTCTGTCCTTAAAAGCGTACTGAGAATTTGGCTCTTTAAAAGACTTCTAAATAGTAACTCTAAAAGAAAATATTAAAAGGTTCTAGAAATAATTGAAAAGTGAAAAAAAATGTTCATTTTAGCCTATAAAAAGCCAAGTTGGCTTCCAGCGCAGTCAGAGCTACACAGAGAAACCCTGTCTCAAATAAACAAATAAACAAATAAGCAACCAAATAAAAAACAAAACAAAAGAAACTAACAAAATGCCAAGCAGGCATTTAGTGTAACCTGTGAAACCATAGTAAAAAGAGTACATACATTAATGCTTAACTATACAGAAGGCCAGAAAAGGGTAAGAAGGAATGAACAGAAAGTATATGGGGGAAAACAAAAACAAATATTCACAAGTTCAGAAGCTTTGATATAAGCAGATTATTAAGTAGATTTTCCTTTTCCAGCATCAGGTTTCCGCATATGTTTACATATTGGTCTTTTCAAGTATCCTGATGCATCCACCCAGGTATAATAGATATATTAGCAATTGAGTAGTCTACCGTGGCTTATAAAGATGAACTTTAATGCAATTTTGGTTTCTCTAGCAATTTTTTCAGACTCAACTAACACAACCTCTGCAGAGTTCTCAGTCTTCTATGCCAAAACTCTGATTTTGTCAAGCATCCTGTAGTAAACTATACTGCATTTTGAGAAGCTGCCCACTGTAGAAAGTCACTGGCCTCTAGTTGTGTGAGAAAGTCTCCTAGAAGATTCTTCCTCCATTCCTCAGAGTCTTTTGTCTCATAAAACTACCTGTCACAGAGAGCTGTAGCTCAAGGAAGTGATGTGCCTGGTGATGCCTCAAGGTAGACTCTTAAGAGAAAACTGCTGATAACTTAAGATATGTTCATTAGAGATATGTTATCTAGCACTCCAAGCAGCTAGCTAACAGTTTCTCCATGGCTTGGACTCAGTGTTCTTGTCCATTTCCTATCATCATTCTAGGATGGTCTCACTTGGGCTTGTGTAGGTTTTGTGGATACTATTGCAACTGCTGTGCTTTCAGACGCGCATCGCCTCGGTGTATTCATAAGACCACTGTGTGACTTTTTACACTCTTTCCGTGTTCTCTTCCCCAGTGACCCCCAAACCTTGTGAAGAGGGGCTGCGGCGTATATCTTCCATTCCATGCTGAGTGTTCTTTAGTCTCTCTGTGTCTTGGCCATTGTGGGCCTCTGTGCTAATCACCATCTACAGTAGATAGAATCTTCTCCGGTGTTTGTTGAGAGATGCATTAATCAATGGAATAATAATACATCATTAGAAGTTGATTTAATACTATATCCAACTAGCAGAATAATAGCAGCAGGTTCTTTCGTAGGGATTATGGCCTGCTTAAACACAGGGTTTTTGCTCAGTACTAGTGTAAAGCATGAGTTTTGTCTTGGTGAATGGACTTCCGTGCATTCAGAAAGTGGCTCTTTTCCTCCCTAGCATTCATCCTACTCTTATAGCAGTGGGCACATCTTTCCACACAGCCATTATTCTAGGTCTCGGGGATAACAGCTGGGTGTGACTGATAACTACTGTGCTCCTCGAGTAGCACTTCTAGAGACTTGTACATAATGAAAGCTAGCCAGCAGGGTTGAATTGTCCATGTCAGTACCAGTTTGACTGGTCCGTGTTTTATAATTCAAATGTTTGATGTCTTCAACAACATGGATTTATTTTCAAGATCAGTGAGTAACCAAGAAAATTGGCAGTCATCAGTGATGCTTGGGAGATTTGTGAGGCTTCATTGTCCAACAATTCTAAAAGAAGTACCCCCCTTTTTTTTTCTAGAGTTACAGTTCCCAAAAGTGGTGGGAAAAGAGACTAGGCAATATCTATACTTGTAGTGAGCTGTAACATAGAAGATGAAAACAAAATAAAACGCCAAATCAAACCCTAAGATAGAGAACTCAACCTTTTAAAAATTAGGTCACTAGTCATTTTTGTCCTTTGCTTCAGAAGGGGACACTATTACATCAGATAAGACATTTTTCCCTCTTAGTTCTGGAATGAGGATCATCTTTGTCATCTAAAATCATAAGGTAACTTGTCTCTTCTCTGAAGGCAGAGATACAATCTCTATCATATATGGCACTTTGAATTATAAAGACCTATGCTTGCAAATGAATTAGAAAAAAGGGCAGCACGCTTCAGCTTTAAGTGTGTAAATATGAACAAGGCTGATAGGGGAAATTATCTAAAAAATATGTCTGCACTTATATAATATAGGAAGAGACAAACATTGCTATAACCAGAAGAAATTGCAATATAAATTACTTAACTGAAGCTTTACTTAAATATTGAGACACAACACACAATTGTTGAAAAGAAAATGTCTCTGTCTTTTTTTTTTTTTTTTTTTTTGCTCTCATCTATTCCTCCCCCTGACTCAATATCCTGGTCCCACATGCTCTCCTCTCCTCCCCTTCTCTTTCTCCTAGCTCCCTCTCCACTCACAGCCACCCCCAACTCCCAATATGCTCAGGAGATCTTGTTTCTTTCCCCTTCTGTGAGAGATCTTGTATGAATCTCTTAGGTTCCTCCTTGTATCCTAGTTTCTCTGGTGGTGTGAATTATAGGCTGGTGATCATTTGCTCTATGTTTACAATCCATATATGAGTGAGTAATTACCATATTCCTCTTTTTGTGACTGGGTTACCTCACTCAGGATGGTTTCTTCAAGTTCTATCCATTTCCTGTGAATATCAAGATTCCATTTTTCCCCCCGCTGAGTAGTATTCCATTGTGTAAATATACCACATCTTCTTTATCCATTCTTTAGTTGAGGGGCATCTAGGTTGTTTCCAGGTTCTTGCTAATTACAAATAGTGCTGCTATGAACATTGTTGAACAGATGTCTTTGTTGCATGGATGTGGATCATTTGGGTATATGCCTAAGAGTGGTAGATTATTCCCATTTTCCTGGGGAACCGCCATACTGATCTCCAAAATGGCTGTACAAGTTTGCACTCCCACCAGCAGTGGAGGTGTGTTCCCCTTTCTCCATATCCTCACATACTCTCCAGCATAAGTTGTCATTGGTATTTCTAATTTTAGCAATCTGATAGCAGTAAGAGAAGAGAGAGAGAGAGACCATAAAAAAAGGAGCCATTATAGGTTTGAAGAGAAAACTGACTCTAGAGAAATGTCCAGAGACCTACAAGACTGATCCCAACTAACAATCTAAGCAACAGTGGAAAGGCTACCTTAAATGCCCTTCCCTGATAATGAGATCAATGACTAACTTATCCACCATCATGGAGCCTTCATCTAGTAGCTGATGGAAACAGAAGCAGACACCCACAGCTAAACACTGAGCTGAACTGGAATCCAAATGCAGAGAGGGAGGACAAGAACAGGCTACAGAAACCCACAGAGATAGTGGACCTGAACAAGGAGGAGCTAATGGACCCCCAGACTGAGAGCTGGGAAACCAGCATGGGACTGAATCAGACTCACTGAACATGGGTCTCAGTTAAAAGGCCTGGGCAGTTTAAGGGACCTCTGACAGAGGAACTAGGATGGATCCATGATGTATGAAAAGCCTTTGGGAGCACCCTCCCCATGGAGGGATACTCCCCTAACCTAGAGGCAGGAGGGAGTGCCTAGTCCCTACTTCAAATGACTTGACCGATTTTGTTGATCCCTCCTGAAAGGCATCATCCTCTCTGTGGAGTATGGTGGGGAATGGGATGAGAGGGTGGTCGGGGAGCATAGGAGGGTGGGAAAATGTAAGGAGGGAGGGATGGAGGAAGGGAGAGAGGAAGGGAGGGATGGAGGGAGGGATGGATGGAGGGGGAACCAGGATCTATATGTAAAATATGAAACACACACACACACACACACACACACACACACACACACACACACACACACACAAAGATTCCATCAAAAGAAAAAGAAAAAAGAAGATATTCTAACTCAATGTTTTCCTCTTTTATTTTTTGAGGGGCCTACCACCCAGCTCCCAAATTATTCACTCGTGGAGGCTCATTCTTATTTGTGAATATCTGACCTTATCTTAGCTTGTTTCTTGCCAGCTTTCCTTAACTTATACTATCCCATCTCCCTTTTGCCTCTGGGCTTTTCATGTTCTCTTACGTCTGTAAATCTTACTTCCGGGTTGCTTTGTAGCTGTGTGACTGGCCCCTTGCATCCTCCTATCTCCCCAGATTTCTCCTTCTATTTATGCTCTCTACCTGCCAGCCCTGCTTATCCTTTCTCCTCCCTTGCTATTCGCCATTCAGCTTTTTATTAGATCAATGAGGTGTTTTAACCAGGCACAGTAACACACAGGGTTAAACAAATGCGACATAAAAGAATGCTGTATTCAACAGCATAAACAAATGTAATACATCTTAAATTAGTATTCTACAACATGTTTTCTTTCATTTTTTTGCATTTTTATGGAACATTTCACTTGTATGTATTCATTATGGTATGATTTAATCTTATGCATGTGCTGTTATTGGTATTTTTCTCTGTTCTCTTTTGAATTTTAGGGTCCCCCCTGACAATTTTCTTTTTCTTTTCTTTAACATGTTTTTCCTACTTTACATATCAATCCCAGTTCCCTCTCCCTCCCACCCTCCCATGCCAAAAACAAACTCCCCCATCTCATCCTCCATCCACTCCCCAGGGACTGTGTGGCCTTCCATGAGGGATCATCAAGGTCTGTCAAGTCATTATGGCCATCTCCCATGTCTCTGGACTAAGGGAGTATCCTTCCATGGGGAATGAAATTCTGAAGTCTGTTCCTGCTCTAGAGATACATTCTGGTTCCCTTGTCAGAGGGACTATAGACTTCTCAGGCCTCCTAACTGAGACCCATGTTCAGGGGTCTGGGTCAGTCTTATGCTGGTTTCACAGCTATCAGACTAGAATCCATGAGCTCCCCTTGTTCAGGTCGGCTGTTTCTGTGGGTTTCTCCAGCCTGGTCTTGACCCCTTTGCTCATCACTTCTCTGACTCTGCATCTGGATTCCAGGAGTTCAGCTAGTGTTTAGCTTCTGTTTCCATCAGCTACTAGATGAAGGCTCAAGGATGGCATATAAGGTAGTCATCAATCTCATTATTGGGAAAGGACATTTAAGGTAGCCTCTCACTATTACTTAGATTGTTACTTGGGGTTATCTTTGTAGATCTCTAGACATTTCCCCAGTGGCAGATTTCTCTTTAAACCTATTATGGCTCCCTCTATTATGGTATCTCTTTTGTTGTTCCTTTCTATTTTTCCCCTACCCAATCTTCCTGCTCCCTCATGCCCACCTCTCCCCTTCTGTTCCTCCTAGTTCCCTCTCCCTGCTCCCAATTTGCTCAGGAGATCTTGCCCCTTTCCCCTTCTGTGAGGGACCATGTATGTCTCTCTTAGGGTCCTGCTTGTTTTCTAGCTTCTCTGGTTGTAGGCTGGTGACTCCTTGCTCTATGTTTAAAATCCATATTTGAGTGAGTACATACTGTTTATATACATACAATGTTTATATTCTTGTGACTGGGTTACTTCACTCAGGATCATTTCTTCTAGTTCCATATTTCTTCTATATCCTCTGGTATACACTGGATTGTAGTTGTGTGTGAGGTTACTTTTTTGTTCTGAGTCCTCTTACTTTTCTTCCAGCTCATGTTCTTCTTGTGATTTCCTCTTTCTACGTATTTACACTAAAGTAGAAAAGTGATAGCTTATACTTATATAGTTTGAGCTATACTTATATAGCTTATATACTTATATAGCTCAAACTATATAGCTTATAGTTTGAGAAAGCCTGTTATTTCACTTGTCTTTCAATAAGCCATACTTCAATCAGCTAAGTAATAATATCTCTCAATAAAACAGATCTTAACTTCTATGTGGTATGAACTACATTCCTGATTACACTACATGTCCAGTGTGCAGTAACAACGTATCACCAATCTCCCCTAATTCAGTAGACCTATTAGTGCTCCATCCCGATGCATAGTACCCTAAATATTATGAAGTTCAGACGTATTCAGATTCCACATTTTTCATATTTTTGCTTTGTTTCAAAACCTGTATTTGATTAGAGGAAGTGTCACCTATGTGTAGTTATTCTGTATTCTCAACAGATAACTTTATAACAATATTTTCTTTTCCTTTTCTCAGGCTTGATTATACTTCCAGGATTTGCCATTGGCCATTTTGTGGGAGGTTTAATTATTGACAGATTGGAAATGAACTGTAAAAACAAACTAAGATTTACAGTGGTGACATCTACTGTAGCACTTGTGCTTTTTGTGTTAATCCTTTTTGTAGAGTGTGAAACTGTGAAATTTGCTGGAATCAATGAAGATTATGATGGGTAAATATGTATGCGTACTAGACTTTTCAATCATAATCAGGGAGATATTTTTGGTAATCATATATATTTATGTAAGTCTGAGATTTTTTTTTTAAAAATGTAAGTGAAATATAAAGCACAGTTTTACTCTTCATATTAATGGTATGTATACATAGAGGCTTGTCATGTATTCAAAAATGATTTAGGATCAAATCTAAAACTTGGTGCTAGTTATGTAGCAGGTACGAGATGTTATTAGCATATATGTGTTGTGATTTGACTGTGTGTTCTTGAACTGATCTGTCTGCATTCTTGGAGGCATCAGGGATGAGTTTAAACTACATATAAGCATGCGTACGGACATTTTAATTTAAATATGCAAAGGCTCAAAGGGCTTGGCCTGGATTAATATCAAATATTGTATAGCATAAACACAAATGAAAGTCAAAGAATTAAGCAAGTGAAATGATAAAAGATAGCAGTAGTTCTTTCAACTGCAATGGGCCTACAGCAAACTGATACTGCTACTGCAGCTATCCATTAACTTCACTTCTCTTACAAATTTATCCTAAGGACTTAGAGGAAGGTATTGAATTCATAGATATAGTGACAGAATATATCTGTACCTGAAAAAATGATAATTTCAAACTTAAAAAAATTAAAATCATATTCTGCACAAAAACTTTTAATCTTGTGGAAGAATTGTACTGTGCAGGAGAGAAATATCTGTAAAATAAAAAAAATCAAGTCTGAGATTGAAGTGTTAATGACAGGTCAACTGAAAAATTTCTGAACACAAAAATATTAACTGCTTCCTCACTCCAGCAAACATAAAAATGGAAAAAATTTTCATCTTTAATATTTTTTTGGGGGGGAATAAACAAATAAAATTCCCAAATAAATTGCTCAAATATCCAAATTTATTACAAATAAAATAAGTGTTACTTACTCAATGCCTAGGCAATAGTGCTGTTGACCTGCATATGCATAAATACTAAATGTTAGGAACATAGCACTTCTTTACAAATGTATTTGAAATTTATTTATAATTCATAGGATAACTTTTCAAAATAAATGGGATCTCCTGAAACTGAGAAGCTTCTGTAAGGCAAAGGACACAGTTGACAAGATATAATAGCAACCCACAGAACGGGAAAGTATCTTTACCAACCCCACATCGAACAGAGGCATGATTTCCAAAATATACAAAGATCTCAAGAAGCTAGTCACCAAAACACCAAATAAAATTGAATTAAAGTAGAATTATGTTATTTTTCCCCTAGTAAAGATTTCCACATACCTCAAAGAGTCTACACACATACACAGAACAACAAACAAAAGGTCATGAGTGTAGAATATACTCCCTTAAGAACCACAACAATGAAACCAAGTCATAGGATTCAGCTGGTAGAGATAAAATTTTGTTTGAAGCCTAAACAAGTATGGTGGTGTTGTCTTTCCTTAAAATCTTTATGAGATTCAAAATAGTTAGCTCAGTGATACATTATGAATACTTACAAATTTAATGTATGTAAAGCAGACATTCAGACCTAAGAACAATGTTACAAGTTTTAAAAATATATTCCTGGGAAATTTCCTTTTCAACTGGAAACAGAATTTAAGGCACCACTTTCAATTTCACATAATCCTCCAGTCTGTAAGAGATCTATATATGTATAATGAATCTTGTATGCTAGGAAAAATAGGATTTATATTTCTGCCTTACAGTAAGATAGAATTTACCAAAAAGATAAAATTTATCTTTAAGTTTATGAATACATTTGTTTATTGTATGAATAAATGATATGTTATAAACATGAAAAACATGATCAATGTATATCTTTTGATGCAAAAAATTATGAAAATGTTTCTTTCTAGTTGAAAGAGCACAGGAAAAATGAGGGGAGGTAAGAGATTTCTGTTCACAATATAAGAGACTGGACTTCAGGATTATGTGCATTAGGTATAGTCTCTTTTATGAATGCTTATATTTTTATCTTTAAAAAACTATTGTTTCTCAACTTTAATATCAGATTTCCTAGAAAACATGGCAAACATAGATTGCTGCCTCCCATTGTTACAATTGCTTCCATGTCTGAGAATTTGTAAGTTCACAGGGAATGGTGATGCTCCTGGGCCAAGGGACTCAGGTGTAGAAAGGTTGACAGTGATACTGGAGAACAAAAGATGGACTAGAGAAATATGAGGGCTGATGAAGGTCCTGTGACCTCAAGGTTTTGTCTTGTTTTGCTTTAATTATTCTGAACCAGTTTATTGCTCAAAACAGCACCAAATAGAACTGAAAACTTATTGTGAATTTACACACTATAATTTGACAAATTTCTTAAAAGTATATGTCAGATCCCAACTCTATACTTCTTAATTTTCCTCATGTTCTAGTTAGGAGTTTTCCAACTCCTTCAGTAAGTGAGTCTGTATCTTTGTCCATTCTTTAGAGTTTATTTATTTATTTATTTACTTACTTATTTCATCTGACAAGCAAATGAAAGTGAATACTATCTCACTTTGTATATAAGATAATATCCTTTATATATGACAGGGAGCTCCACTCATGAAGTCTTACCAATATGGCTGATGAAAGAAGATCTCTACAAAATATTCCAACATGGATTTGGGGGGGGGATCTCAAAAGGCCCCATCCCCGAATTCAGTGGCTGTGGCCACTAAGAAAGTAATAGTTTGTTTTGTTCATGCATGAGATGAGTTTCCTAGTAGTTTATCAAACCCAGAATTCAGTCTCATATTGTTTTAGTTTTTGCAAATGGTCTAATGTATATTAGGCTGAAATTAAATGAGATAGAGTATACTCAGGGGATGGAACACTAACCAGTCAGAAGTGCAATGATGTTTATTTTCAACATTTTCTTTTCAAATTTAACAGAAGGTTTTGCTAAATTAACTAAGGAAAAATAAAGGGCATTTTGAATGAACATTACTAGGAAAAGTTTATTTAAAGACAATATGATTAAAAAAAATAAAAGGCACTAGAACTAATATATTGTGTTTAGGATAGTTACATAATAGAAGCTAAATATAAAAGGATCCATGATTCACTGTGACTGGAGCTGTAGCTCACTGGTTGTCCATTTGCATAATTACTACATGGCTAGGAGTTTTAAACCAGCACAGAAAAAGCTTCCTACAAACAAGTAGAAATACCATCATTATAAAAGAACATGAGTTTCTTATATTAATTATAAAAGAATGTATTTACAATATTATTATCAATGATATAAAGTAGATGTGAAGACCAATTACTGATTATTACAATATCTTGAAGAAAATAATTAGAGAGTTTTTAAAGTAAAGCTGCCCCCATGTTCTTGAACAGGAGAATCCATTTTTTATGAGCATTAGACTTCTTTCCAAGTTTCTGCTATGTATTCAGTGTACTGACAACAAAATCCCATCAGGCTGTCCTTTGTAGATGCTAGTAATAAAATCTTATTGCCATTCATTTTCAAGGACCTAGAAGAACAAAAAATAAAAAATAACAAAATTAGAAGACTAACCCTATTTGCTTCCATTACGAACTGTAGAATTATGTTAATTGAGAAAGTGATAAAAGTGCATTAATGAAATACAATGGAGAGATTTTATATGTAGGAACTCATGTTGTTGATCCTTGCCAGGGCAGAACAATGAAGTAGAGACTATAGAGCCATTTACAAAAATGCTATTAGCTGACTGCTTGGCCCTTAAAATATCTATACAGCATTATATGGAGTGAGCAAACTTTATAATATTTAGGGATATTTTTGTATATGCATATATGAATACAATAATATTTAATGTAAAAAGAATGCATGAATTTGAAGGAGAGTGGGTACGGTTCAGAGGGAAGAAAGGGAGGGGAGAGATGTAATTGTATTATAATCTCAAAAACAAAGTATTTAAAGAGCAAACATCATATATAAATACTACTTTCAAGGCTAGAGTGATCGCTCAGGGTTAAGAATGCATGGTATTTATTCTCTCATAAAGCCTGAAGTTTGTTCCAGAAACCCATGTCAGTTGGTTGAGAAATGACAGTTATTCCAGCTTCAGGGGATCTGACATGCTCTTTGTTTCTGAAGATACCCACACCACTGAGGTATTCTTATACAGATACATGCATACTCACAAATAAAATATAATAAAAATAATTTAAAGATGTAAAAATGCTATTTGGTTGGGACCATTAGATGCCTATATGTAAAGACATTACCTTGGATCCCCACTTCATACTGTACAGAGGGATTAAAAATGAACCATAAGTATAAATGCAACATATAATATTCTAAGAATGTGATGGAAATTCCATTTTGATTTTGAAGTTGGCAAGGATTTCTTTCACATGTCACAAAACACATAGTCCATGAAACATTGCAAGTTGGACTTCATAAAAATTAAAATATGCCCTTTCAAGGACTTCTTTTTCTGTTTTTCTTTTTTGTGGGGTGGAGGTGCTTGATATAGGGTCTCACTATGTAAACCTGGTTGTTTTTGTACTCACCATATAGACCAAGCTGCCCTTGAACATACAGAGAACCATCTGCCTCTGTCTTTGTCTCCAAAATCTTGATATTAAAGGTGTATGCCATCATTCCTGGCTTTCAAGAACTTGAATTTCTTTTTTTTATCAAGCCACGGATTCTAAAAAGATGATTGAAAATAATATATATAAAATAAAGCATTTGTTTCTGATCATACAAAACACCTAATAATAAGAAAAATAACGTAACAAGGGACAAACAACCCGAAACGATACATTCATCAAATACACACACAGGGATGGCAAATATGCAGAAATGAATTCATCATCATTAGTCACTAGAAAAATGTGAATCTAACATCACAATCGTAACTATTGTTCCTACATCAGAATGTCTAAGTCATTGAGCTCATACTGTTACAGAGAAATATAGAGAACAGTTCAGTCTCCTGTATACCACTAGCAGAAATACAATCATTAACTGAGGGGGACCCGGCAGGTGTCATGCAAGTAGGGGAATGAACTTCAAAGACATGAAAATGATAATCTCAGTTCAGACCAACTCTGTCAATATCAATCAAACTTTGGGGTCGGTGATGCCATTCTGTCTCTTTTCCATTTTTTTTTTTGTGTTCAAGCTACTCACATGCCATCCTTTCCAACTTCTGTTGACAAAACTCCATTGAGTTCATCATTACAAATATCTCCATTAACTGTACACTTTATACATTCACAACCCTTCTTCAGTATTTTATCTCAAGTTAGGTTGGCTTCCATTTTCTGTATCTCTATCCTTCATGCGCTTATGTGTACATGAGGTAAGTTAATAATGACCGCCAACCTTCCTGCTGTGTTTTACATGTTAAATTTCTTGTAGATTTTAACCAAGAATCTCGAAGAAGCAACTTAAAGAGCAGGGTCAAACCCTTAGTAGTGTCAAGTAGTGAAGAGGATAGCCACCTTACTTAGTCATAAAAATTTTAATTTGTGTTTTAATTTATCTAGCATGAACCTAAGCACTCATTTAAGTACGAATTTGATGATCAGGAGAGGGGAATGTCCTTTATAAACTGAATGATCAATACCTAAGGAATGTTAATCAGCATCAAGCAAATTAAGGGCATTATGTCTTACTCAGAATTGTATCTACACTAGAAGTTGGCCACTTTTTAGTGTTTTTTTTTTCTATGTCTCACATGAAGGAACCTTTGAACATGAATTATTCCTGCCATGAGAGAAAAACAAAAACAAACAAAAAACTAAACTGTGACACCCTCATCTTGGCTCATGCAGAAGTTAGTTGAGCTCCATCTGCCATTGCTTGGAACTCAGGTGTTGCTGCTCTGAACTAGTGGGCTCTACACAGGAAGGACTGAGAGGGGGCATGCAGAGGGAGAGCGCTGAGCTTTGGTCAAATCATGCAGGAGGGTCAGCCCTTGAACCCATGTTGCTGGCCTGGGATCTGAGCAGCTGTGGAGCTCATTCTGTCTGCCCTGCCAATTTGTGTATGGCAGAAATTCCCTCTATTTGTCTCTAATTTCTCTCTCTCTCTCTCTCTCTCTCTCTCTCTCTCTCTCTTTCCTCTCCTCTCCTCTCCTTCTTTCCTCCTTACTCCCCCTTTCCTTTCACCCCCCTCTCCTCTTCCCTCCCCTTCCCCATTTTCTTAAATAATTGACTGGGATTTATTTTTTCTCCATTCTTATGGGATTTTTTTTTTTGTCAACCTGGAAACTTTCCCCTCAATCATACTGTGTTAAAATATGCTGACCCCAATTTCCTGGTATGACAGGATCCCCAGTACAAAAGGAAGCATAATTTCATTGAAACTCAACTCAGAATACATGCCATTTCTTCCAAGAAGATAGGTTACAGAGACAGGTTACCCATGCTATCGTAATGACCTAAGGAAGGATTTGGTATTGCCTTGGTCATATAGAAGATGTGGCTATCATATAGGCTATTAGCCACTCTTGTTCTAGTTGTAGGAGCTTGGGAGAGCTCTTGGCTGCACAGGTAATATCCATTTGGATTACTTCTGATCCTGTGAGAGTTTGATATAGCCTGCATGATGGAGAATGCAGATCACAGGGCTGTTAATCACCTCCAATTCCCAGCACTCTGGATGGAAGAACAGGTTATAAGTCCATTCCATTTAGAGGACAATCCTGTGTGCTTAACATTTCTGGTTTCCCTGGTGACCTGTGAGTACAAGGACCTTTGTGGTCCTAACAACAAACCTCTTTGGAAAACTGATAATTTCTAGCAAAGCTTTCAAAAAGGTTGGGGTAGCCACACAGGTGGCTCAAGAGGACCCAGGTGTTGTTGCCAGCACCCACATTGAGGAGGGGTGCTGTAAGTCTAGTTCTTATGAATTTAATGACAAAATTTGCTTCCGTAGTTGATATACTCACACAGTGTGCAAATATACGTTGAAGCAAGACAAACACACGTGTAAAATAATTCTAAAATAGTGACATAAAACCCTTCACACAATTTAAATATTACACAAGAATCGTGGAAGCACATGTCCATGTAAGAGCAAACAAATATCATTGACATGTATTTATATGAACCACTTAGGTGTCCTGTACTTGTACAGACCATAAAAGAGTATCATATTCCATACAACTGGTGTAACAGGTTGTTGTGAGCTGAATTGAAGGTACTAGGAATGGGATTTTGGTACTCTGGATAAGCAGGCAGTGCTGTACAGAGCTAAGCTATTTCTCCTGGACTACCAAGTGGTGCACCCTTAAATTTGTATTTTATTGTGTTTGTATGTTTCAGTAAATCTGTGACAAAGTAATTATTGAAATGAGCATATCTGCAGCTCTCGTTCATATCTTAGTGTCTCCATTAATAATTTAAATCATAGTGTCATAAATTTATTTCATCTCAACTTCACAGGTCAGGTATCTTGGGAAACCTCACAGCTCCATGCAATGAGAAATGTGAATGCCCAAGCTCCATCTACGCTTCCATTTGTGGAAGAGATGACACTGAATATTTCTCTCCCTGCTTTGCAGGCTGCAAGGCTTCTAAAAATTTAGACAATGAAAAGGTAACTTTTAATCTTGCACCTTTTTCTCCAGGACCATGTTCACTTTGTAGACCATGATTAGAAGATTTGATTCTACTCTTACGCCTCTCTAAAATGTTTCTGTTATACTTTCCTCATTTGTAATCTTAGCAGCCCAGAGGGCAAAGCTAGTTTATGTTTTCTGAGTGCCTCACTGAATTTTGAACACAATCTTTCACACACCAAAAGGTTGCCCAGTGCCATTGTGTGAGTCATCTTTCCTTCAAATGTGCTTACTCTGTGCTTTCCTGCAGTTTCTCTTATTTCTGCTCTACAGTAAAGTTTTTTTTTTTAGCGGTGTGTGTCGAATCCAGTCACCTACTGCCTTTTTTCTATGATTGTGCACTAGATCTTACCATATATACATGGCTTTCATGGAAGATATCTGATAATGTAGAACATGCAGAGCCACATTCTACATGAGAGAAATATGACTTAACTGAATTGAATATACCTTAAACCTCTAGTTATATATCTTATGGTATGTCCATGAAATTTGTTACTTCTTTCCTTCCTGCCAATGCCCAGAATATATTCATTTTCCATAGTCCTTGTTCTGTTGTAGAGAACAATTGCCTTTCCTACCACTTGTCTAAGTTTGTGGGGTTCTATCTCTTTTGATTTTGTGTGTGTTCACATTTTGGTGCATGTGTTCATGTGTGTGTACATGAAGATTGCATGCACAACTATGGATGGCAACAGCATTTGGTATTTAAAAATGGATAAAGTATTCAGTCTCAAAATATGTGAATGAAGTAGTGGTGGTCAGAGGACCATCTCTGATGTCATTCCTCAGGAGCAGTCCAGCTTGAGAATAGAGATAGTCTTTCACCAACTTGCTGCTCTCCCAACTAGTTCACAGGGATCCACACATTTCTGCTTTTGCAAGAGTGGAGTTACAAGCACACTACCATGCTGGACTTTTTATGTGGATAATTCACTGACTGAATTATCTGGCCATGAACATTTTATAGTTGCTAATTACATTATTTTTCAGTTTCTACCTTTTAATTAGTAAAAAAAAAATTATGGGTATAGGTACTTAAAATACTGTGGGTTTTTTTCTCTCTTTTTCCTAGTTTTTGTGAAGGGAAGAGAGCAATAAATAAGTATATTTATTGATTAATATTCATTTTAAGCAAGTATTATAAGAGAGATTTTGGCATTCATAAAAATCACCCCTAAAATTCTGTATGTTAAAATGGTATTTAAGTCTTCAAAATATGGGAGAAATTTAAATGGAATAAAAAAGTACAATTACTCTTATAGTTTCCCATCTTTACAAGTTGTTTAAGTTACTGTAAGTCCTTGCTTTATACATGTACCCATTTATTTTTGTTACTCTGTTAAGTTATGTAAGTGCAGCTGCAGACACCTGTCATGTCACCCTACAGCAAATGTTGACTCATCGAGAGGCTCAATGTAGTATCACTACTGAGCTCTCCTTTGTGGGGAATCCTGCTTTGGAGCATTCATCTCAAGGAGTTCTTCATAATTTTCTTATATCTCTATGAGGCACAATTAATTCATAATCCATTGAAAATATGGAAAGATTCTACAAAATATCCACACGCTGTGTACTTAGAAGTGGGGAAAAATGAAACATTTTCAGTGAAGAGTATAGCTGCCAGAAGTTGTCTAGAAAGACAATCATCTTTGATGGAAATAATTGCTCTCAAGCAAAACTGACAAAAACAAAGGATGTGCTTCAAAAACTTTGATATGGATGGAACTGAAGAATGTGTGGAACCCGCATTAGTGTCACGTGGGAAAGAACTGAAACAGCAAAATGCTTTCGACAAAACTAAGGAGAAACACTGCGTTTACTAAAGCAAACAAACAAACAAACAAACAAAAAGTCTTTTCTTCATACTACTAATGTAGACTCTTTGAAATCACACCTTATGCTCCTACAAGAGGCTAACTCTTTTTGTTTGTTTGTTTTTATTTATTATTGTAATAAAAACCCTTGGACTTTCCTTTATGATCTTGTATCTTTGGCGGGTTCTTTTTTGTTATCTTCTTTGGCTTTTATTGTAAGATAGCAAAGATAATAGCAAACCCGAGAACTTCTGTCAGCAGGTTCTCTAGCTTACCAGAGACCTAAGTTGTATTATCAGTGGAGGAGCTAGTTTACATGTCACCCAAAGCATTAAGGGATCTCTTAGGTGCCAAAGGACAATGATGGCTTTCTGTCACAGTTTGTACAGGAGAGCAAAAGAAAAGCAGAGCAGAAAAATGTGTGTCAAGTATCTTAGGGTTTTTATTGTTGACATGGAAACACCCATGACCAAAAAGCAAGTTTGGAAAGGAAGGGTATATTTGGCTTACAGTTCAGCATTGCTATTTATCACTTAAGGAAGTCAGGACAGGAACTCAAACAGGGCATGATTCTGGACCAACAGCCCAGGGATATCACTGTCCTCCATAGACTGGGACCTTCCCGAATGATCACTTATTGAAAAAATGCCCTACAGCTGGATCTCATGGAGGGATTTCCTCAGTTGAAGCACCTTCCTATCTGATGCCTCTAGCTTGTATCAAGTCATGACATAAAACCACCTAGTACAAATAGGACAGTATATGACACTTAAGAAGACTTTTTTCTTTCACATTTCAATTTGTAACATAATCCTACATAAGAAATTGATAGGACAAGTCATACAAATAAAAAGCATCTGACGGAGGATCCAGATGAGTGAAATACAGTAAGAGTAAGACGCTATTGGTGTATATCTCATTTACAAAAGCATTTTTGGCATGTAAACTGTAATGACTATTTTAAAATGAATTATGATTTTTCTCTTGGGTGACCCAAACATTACTAAATGTTTTTAGGGACAGAAAGGAGCTCTTAGGTGTAAAAATGAAGTTCTTAATTGGTGTAGATAATAGAAGGCCAGAGTCAGATATAAAGGGAAATGCTGAGAGGTCAGAGAGACCTTACCTCCTAAGCCTCTACGAAGAGAAGACAGCGATTTCCTGTTTGTGCCTGCTTATATCCTCTTACTGACCATCTATTTACGACACTTGCTGCCTGTCTGTACAGACCTCTAGACCTCTATGGTTAACTAGTGGCAAGCTCCATTCTCTGACTCTTTGACAGGTTTGTTCCAGAATGATATCACCACACTTATGATAGCCTTTAAACTATTTCTTCTAACTTTGTATAGTTTTTTTTATTTTATATAACCAAGTCCATTTAAATGAAAACAAACATTTATAGACAATATTTGGGAATTTGGGCATCGTTCTTTCCAAACTACTTCCTGCTGGTAAGGGGCGCTGTCATGGGGGATTCAAAGAAGATGCAGAAATCCTGGCTGTAGTCTGTAAGGCTGCTTTGTCCAGCTGTTTTGAATGTAGGATATATACATCCTGTTTATTCAATTAGTTCAGTGTGTGTGTGTGTGTGTGTGTGTGTGTGTGTGTGTGTGTGTGTGTAAGCTAGAAGCTGGTGATAAATCTCTTCATCAGTTCTCTGTTTTACCTTTTAAGACAGGATCTGTCAATGGATGTGGAGCGCATTAGTGTGATTAGGCTGAATGCCCAGTTATCTTCAGGATCCACCATATAAAACTAGCCTTATAGATTTACTTTTCCCATGGGTGTAGTGTATTCATACTCGGTTCCTCTTGTTGCATGGTAAGGGCTATAATAAATGAATATTCTCCTAAATTCTATTCATTTATATATATTTAATTTTTGTAGGCATGCCTATACTTTCATTTTTAATGATTGTAAATTGAATATCAATTTTTTCATACAGCATGTTTTGATTACAGTTTTCCCTCTAGTACAGTCCGTACTAGATCCTTCACTTCCATACCCAATTAAATATGCAACCTTCCCTTTTCTCTGTCTTTAGAGAACAAGCAGGCATACAATAATAGTAACAATGGGAAGATGCAATAAAAAAAAACAAACCAAAATTGAGAAAAACAAACAGTGAAGAAAAATGCCCAAAGAAAAAGCACAAAAAACATTTATAGATACTGAGAGACATTCATTCACACATACAGAAAACCCATAGAAACAAAATTGAAAACCATATTATGTAAGTAAAATATCTGTGTGTAAAAAAAAATAGACAAGTAAATAATTAAATTCCCCAAAGTATTCTGAGACTAAAACAATAACAGCAACAACTCTCCAAAATATCATTCTGTGTGTGTGTGTGTGTGTGTGTGTGTGTGTGTCTGTGTGTTTGTGTGTGTGTGTTGGCCATCTACTGATGGGCATGATGTCTTCCACTGAGAGTAGTTTGAATGCCCAATGAGACTTGTTTGGAAAATAGCTATGTTTTCCTTTACAAGTGGTTGTCAATTGGGATAGCCTCTGGGTCAAGTATGGGTAAGTGTCTACTTTCCCTTTCAGAGCTGGTAAAGTGGTCTGGCCCAGCCCTTTGCATGCTATTACTGCTTTTGTAAGTTCATTTGTGCAACCGTACTGTTGTGTCTAGAAGACTTTATCTCCTTGGTGTACTCCCTCACCTCTGGCTCTTAAAATCTTTCTGCTTCCTCTTCTGCAGAGTTCCCTGAGTTCTCAGGGGAGGGACTTGATGTAGGCATCCCATTTAGGAGTGAATATGCCAAGGGCCCTCGCTCACAGGCATAGACATGGTTGTCTGTATTTTCTCCCATCTACTGGTGGAAAAAAACTTCTGTGATAATGGCTGAGCAAGACCCTGATGTGTATATCGGATTGTTATTAGGAGTCATTTGGTGGCTATGTTCCTTATAATATTAGGTTTCCCCCTGGGTCTGTGGCTGACGTCACACATTCACAACCACTAAGAAGTGTGGGGAATTTGTTCTATCTCATAGAATGGGCAGGCAATTCACCATTGTAGGTCACAGGAATTATAGTTGGATTGGTGTTTACTTTCTCCTTTGGTGACCTGGAGAGTACCTTATAGTACCATGATCATTAGTCCTATTCCATAGGGGTGAAGCCTCTAGGTAGGCACCAGCTAATTTCTT